TAGACATTTATCAAACAAAAATAATCATAAAAGCGAAATGCTATTGGAAGAAAGTATTTCCAATTCTTGTTAATTACATTTTGTTCAAGGCTTACTCAAAAAGAAACTGTCAGATTTCACAGTCTTTTACTCTAATTTCCCATGCACATTTTTAATTCAGAAATATTCAAGATTTGTAAATTATCAAGATGGCTTTTTACAAATATTAAAAGACCATCTAGATTTTTTACAAATCTTAAATGTTCTGAAACAAAACATTTTCTGTTCTGTGACATAACATTAATACAATTTGCTAGTAACATCGCATTAGCAACTACGAGAAATTAATACAATACAAACCACACTGACGCAAGTACTAACTTTCAATTTAGTGGTTTATTAATTAATGGGCCAGTAAAAGCAATTCCGTACATTCTGACGAAAATGGAACATAAAACTAATCAATTCTATCTGATAAAGTTTCATTTATATGACTTGCTGATGTTAGCTGATGATGTTAGATGTTATATTAATTTGATATGCTGGTTGTCATTGCAAAAGGAATATAGTATCGAATGATTTAAAATAATTTTAAATCATTCGATACTATTTTCCTTTAGTTAGTAGTTTGTTTTCATTTTATAGTTGATTTTTATTTTGATAGATTTAAGATAGCCCACATTTATATTTTTGGTTGATTTGTTGCCTTTTATGAATAATGTTATGAGAAGGATGTGTTTTTATTATGATATTTTATGTTAAAAGTGTTTAAGTATAGACTTTATATAGATAATGCACATATTTTCAATCATATTTTACGGGACATCTTCAGCGATTAGCTTCCCAAAATACCTCAATAACAAGTTTCTAAAAACTGTTTACATTTGTGTTAAAATTCCAAAAGCTGTAGTATTACTTTAGATATCTGGTTTCTCAAATAAATAATTTACAATTTCCATTAAGTAAGAGTTCACGAGGTTTTGAAATTAAGTGGGCTTTCATTGGTGCCTGTACCTACTTTGTTGTTATAGCGGCAACAGAAATACAACATCTGTGAAATTTACCAACTGTTTAGCTATCACGGTACATGAAATACAGCCTGGTGTCAGGCAGAGGGACAGACTGACGGACAGCGGAGTCTTAGTAACAGAGTCCCGTTTATTACCTTTTGGGTACGGAGCCCTAAAAAGCACACTAAGGCCCACTTCGCTGAGTCGCATTTCCCATAAATTATCGTTCGGCGGACAGTTCGCCTTAATTGTCGGCGAATAAAAAGGACCACGGGATGCAAATAAACGACTGACAAAGCATAATGTCGAGCTCACTGATAATCGCAAGACTGGTTGATCTCGAAAACGTTCGGATAATAAGTAACTAGAATATGATGAATTGTTACCTTTAAATTAATCCCTATTTTTCTTGATCTTTTTTTTTAAGTTTACTTATACTTTGTAAGTTTTTAAAAAAAAAGAAAAATAAGAAAAATACGTAAACCTTCTATATATAATGATCGAAGACAAAGTGCGCGTGGAAGCAATAATATTATATAATTATGAAGGTTTAGTATATTAAAGTACCGTGCTGTGTAGCTATCTATAGGTACTATAAATGTACATAACAATTTATTTTACAATCGAAATGATTCCTTACCAAAACCTAGTTTGAACCTTTACGTAAAGAAATAAGAAACATGTAAACGTAAATAGGTGGAACGACAGCTTTTGTGATATGAAAAAAAAATGGTCTACATTATTCCCCATCTCAGCAGACATCAGTCAAGCAAGTCATTTTATTTTATTTATTTAGTGTATGTAGATTGCACACATAAATTTATCCTCCATCCGTCGCGTCGGGCCGGCTGGGCGGCGCCGGAGCTCAAACCTGGAACGTTTAATATTCAGCCATCGCGTATTGTGTGGTCGTTGGTCGCCGATAACCTGTGGTTGATAGGGGGCGCAGATGTTAAGATTTTACGGGGATAAATCCAGTTTTATAAAGAACCTGCAAAATCAAACAAAATCGCAAATATATTTAAAACGAATGGCAAAGTTTAATTCAACCTACACAGCTTCACAAATAGTTTAAGTTAAAAATTGTTTACATTATATAAAATCGTACTATTATCATAGTTTTGATATTTACTACAATACTTTATTTATCCGTCTGTTACGTTTTCTCATTTAAATTAGTTTAGTAATGAGAAAAAGACGGCCTTGGAGGCTGTTATTTGACGCTTGAATGGGTGTGAAATTTGAATGAAAAGTCAAGTATTCTACGCAGACATATGTATGGGCATGGCCGCATGGGGATGCTTTATTGCGTCGACAATCGATATTCTGTAGAGCTTCGCTAATCCGGACCAACGTTACGTTCGGTATTATAAATCCGGACAAGCGAGAGAATCACAGGTGGGACATATGACAAACTTTTTCTAGAAGAATAAACGGTTAGTTTTTTTAAATTTCATGTTTAGTGCGCAAATTTCCTACATGTTTGAATTTTTTATAAGTACATTTGTACGACACATTTATACATTCTTGTCTAAGTTAACTTAACATGTTTACTTTACTTAATGAAACCCAAGTTTAAAATGTGTGTTTTATTCCTATTTAAATATTATATACTATAATCCGAAATTTCGATATTTCGGAATAGGTCTTGTTTTATCGTTTTTGAGTTGATGCGCTACCGATACTTATATTTATATAAGTACAATTCCACCTCCAGTGCACTCCGTGGGGTAGCAGTTTTGCCACCATTTTCATATAAAAAAAAACAATAATAAAAAAGCGTTTACACAACTGTTTTTTTTTCCAAACTTATCCTCTCAGAAACTAGACGATGTGGTAACCTTTCGGATCAAGACAAGCTTTCAATAAACCGCTTGAATTATAATATAACATACGGGTGGCTGTCGATACCGAAATGTCTTAATTAGTTTTGGTTAAATCATAAATAAAAGAAATCGCATTCAAGCAAACTTGTTGTAAACTGCATTTTTTTATAAAACAAGTTAAGAACATTAACAATCTGTCTTAGTGGTGAAAAAGGAAGTACAATGAGCCCGAATCGATATATTTATATTTATCCATATTATAAATGCGAAAGTGTGTCTGTCTATCTATCTGTTACCTTTTCACGCCTAAACCGCTAAACTGATTTAGATAAAATTTAGTATAGAGATAGTTTGAGTCCCGGGGAAAGACATCGCATAGTTTTTTTTCCCAGAAATCATCTTTTAAGGGGAGGAAATGAGGGTGGAATTCTGTATGGGAAACCAATTTTTTCCACGCGGACAATGCCGCCGGCACCCACTAGTGAATCATAAATGCCAAGAACTAGAATCATTTCCACCCGGCCCAGATCAGGCTTGATGGAATATTTTCTAGTAAAGTTTTCTGTAAATATTATGATCCATAATTAGCAGTTTGATGTTCTAAATAAAAATATAATAATAAATATATCAAGGGTCAGGGAAATATTATCTTTATATATATAATTCTTCTGTGAGTGTGTATGTCACTGAACTTCTCTTAAACGACTGGACCGATTTTGATGAATTTTTTTGTGTGTGTTCAAGGGGATTTGAGAATGGTTTAGATTCACAATTTTGTCCGCTGGACAACCCCTATTTTTTTAGGGCGGTACGAAGTTCGCTGGGTCAGCTAGTATCATTATAAGTAGATATCTCATTAGCGAAAAATAGGTAATTCACTAAAGTTACCTTGATCTCCGTACAAAGGGCAATGCCCATAATAGGCTCCACGTTAACAAGGCGCTTGGCAAACAACAATTTTACAATATTATTTTATTAGTGGAGAGTATCATTATTAATACAAAAATAAATAAATAATACGATCACTTCCATATATTAGTTATAATGTCACATGATCGAAAACGGCTGTAATTGGTCGATTTTAAGCATCACGTCATGACAGCGAAAATGGCTATGATTGGCCGAATTTAAGTAAGCAACTAAGAATAGGACCGACTGGGCGCCATATTGTGATATCATAGCTGTCAACTCAAACCAAACAGGTAGAGTGAGCAAAAAAAAGTTTTTATATAAAACTTATTTACTAAGCTTAAGTGAGAAGAACATAATAAAGAATGGATGTAACAGAAAATGTATCAACCCAGTGTCTGGACATCGTATTGGTAATATAATGTCTTCGAATATTATTGATCGTTGCGAAAATGACTTATTTATGTTTATAATTTACCTTTTTTCATCGCATTGCTAAAAATTGTTTTAAGTGTTACTGATACACAATTATAACGATTCAAAGGTTCTGGGTAGTTTAAACTTAGTAGTTAGCTTAGTTTCAGTTTCATTGTATAGTTTTACTTTTTAAAATGTCTGTCCATGTCAAGCCAAATTCCCATATAAAGAGGCCTTTTCATTAGAATCGGTTAGTGCAGCGATTTAGGAAAGATAAGCGCGTATATACAGACAAAGCTACTTCCGTATTTATTATATTAATGTGGATTAAAACGACGTAGGTACTCTATGATCATATTTCCCCCAAGCCCAGGTACAAGTACTACTTTTATTATATGAATGCGCGTTTGATAAAAATCAAAAGGAAATGCTGCAATTACCGATTTCTTTTTCAGTCGGTCACTTTAAGGGTGACCTAAATATTATCGTGAGCTGTTCCTAGCTTCGGATGGGGACACTAACATATCGTATATGTCGGCTGTTTACCATGTTACCTTATTGGACGGTATAGCATGCACATGCACCGTACCATCCAGTCCGTTCTCCCGTATCTGTAATATAGGGAAATCTCAACCCTGAACCCAAGGATGAAAAGTTTATCAAGATTATTTCTGCTTGCTTATAAATGATGTTCTGCAATGAATAATATGCTTAAAATATACTACTTAAGCTCTACAACGGAATTTAATGGACGGAACAAACACGCTATAGGTATACAACTGATAACATAAGAAACTAATACGATGTAAAATAATATTATAATATATAAATTAAATTAAAACTTGGTATTCCTCCACAGCACTCCAACATACGATATGGCACCGAATCCCGACAAGCAATGGATTCTTCGAGTCACGGAGAAAATGAAGCCTATACATCGGCAGTTCACAAATCTGCTCATGACCAAGCGTTTGCAGACACTGCAAAGCGTTGACATGGTAAGCAAATTATTATAGGTACAAGATAAACCACGACCACGTTATTTTGGAACACGGGGCTAATAGGTAATTCCTACGACGTATAGTTTGCCCATAAAAAAACGTAGACGACCAGTCACGTAAAGAATCTTCAAAAGAGGTAATTCTATTGAATCTTAAATCGTATGCCATTAGGTTAACACAGTTAGGGGGTAACTACAAGGGGGTTTCAATAATTCATTCTAGGCATTTTCAGATAAAATTATAACAATTATCGTCATTTTTTATTAGGTGCTCATTGAAATTATAAGATAAATAAATAAAAGAGATAAGATAAAAAATGCGATACATATTTTTGATGGGTGCTGTTGGAAATATTTGAATTAAATAAAATAAATAGGTAGTAAATATGCATCATTCTAACGCTTGACAGTACAGTCGCTTGATAGTTTCATATTCCGTTAACAAAATAAAGCAATCATCAAAGACACTAATTTATTTTTATTATTATCTATCAATTTGATAGGGTGGATTTTTTAAAGCTAATTATTTCTTTATATTTATAAATCAAGCTGATTAGTGCTTACCACCGATTATAAAAGTATAATAATATATAATTAATGATGGCGTAGCTTCTTGACCTTTACAAGTGCTTGTAACAGCCTAGACTGAATAAATGATTTTGATTGATTTTATTTTGCTAACGATTTGATTTTGATTGATTTTATCATCACAGGCCGTAGAACGCGTCTACCAAGAGCTGAAGGCGCTAGGAGAGCTCGACAACACCTACCTGGTGTACACATCGGACCACGGATACCACCTCGGCCAGTTCGGGCTGGTGAAGGGCAAGAGCTTCCCCTTCGAGTTCGATATAAGGGTGCCATTCTTGGTCCGCGGACCTGGAGTCGAGCCCGGTACTGTGTAAGTATTTTGGATCTTATTAGTAAGATCTTTAAAGCTATTTTTCACTATATCTAAATAATGGAACATAGCTCTGATAATTGGCGAGCTGAACAACACCTATCTGGTTTCCACGTTGGACCACCTCAGTAAGGTTCGGGCTGGAGCATGGAAAGAGCTTCGCCTTCGAGTTCAATATTAGGGGGCGCCCTTCTTGGTCCGTGAACCTGGAGTCGAGCCCGGTACCGACCGTGTAAGTATTTTGGCTCTTATTGCAATTTGATACAAATTTTTGAAGACAATAGCTTCTTTTGTTTTCTATTGTTTTGAAGAATCTCACTATACTTAGCAAAATCTAGCTCTGAGGTGTCGTCCTAATTGGCAACGATCGTACAGTGACACGATGCGTACTCGCCGTGCGATGATTTTCAAACACACAGATTTCTTCAGAGGTGTCCTAATACAGCTCGTAAGCCGTCGCACGATCACAGGTAAGTACATTATTTTCATCGCACGATGAGATCGCATCGCCCCATCGCACGATCGTTGCCAATTAGGACGACGCCTGATGATGGTGAAGAAAGAAGCAGTCTATCAATTAGGAAGTACAATTATTTGTCTTCTCACTAAACTTACCTAATGATGAGCAAAGTAAACCTACATATTTGACAGCATCTTAATGTCGGCTAAGAGTTAGGGCTCCACGGAGTATTGGATTCAGACCGGCAAGGAGTGGGCTGGAGTGGTAAAATTTTCTGCCTATATCAGATATCTTTGCAAAAATTGGAGTCCACGCACACTGAACATCATTAGGGTTTTACTGTAGGTACCTTGTATAAAATAAGACCCATTTAATTGGTAGGTTCAACCAATCGACTGCAGATGCAACTAAAATTATATAAAATAATATTGAGTTATAATCGAATAAAATACTTAGAATAGCTGAGCTTAACGGCTCAACGTTCTACTGTCACAGGAAACTCCTGTAATATGCATAGCATTTGCTATAACTTATAATTTTGGTCACTCAAACACTAAAATTGGAAAAAAATGATTGATTAACCTCTATAGACATAGGTCAAACGTGGCTGCTACCTATTAAAATGTGGTAGTAATAGGTCTTCGATTTTTGATGGACGATGTTTAACTGGAATACGTCACTGCATCATTTTTGAAAATCCATTCCACGAAGACCTGCGTAACAAGTCTCTAAAGGCTCGTATACAGAATGGCAACTAAGTGTTGATCTTTACTTGAGTACAGTTAGAACGGGATGTCGCTATGTGCTATTTCTTTCTTGAATCTATAATACGGGCCTAAGTCTTTGTTTTTAGATAAAATTAGGTACCTACTACCACGAAAGATGTACCCACAAAAGGCTAAAATTATTTCGTCTTTCAAATAAAATCACCACATTTTAAAGTCAAACTCTGCCTTGAATTCATTTCCATTCCTAGACATTCACGGCTCGTGTTAGACGAATTCTTGAGATCCAAGGTGTTCACGTATGCTCGGTATCTGTACCAAATATGCATAATATATCAACGGTTGTTAGAAAAAAGCTTCGATACCTATCTACTATCTATCTACTTACATACATTTAGAAATATTATGCTAATATGGAATCTGCGAGGGAGAATTTAAAATTGATTCATCTTGTAAAATTATTTTGTAAAAATACCCCCGGACATATCAATCGGCCCAGCTAGCATTTTAAGTTTTGGCCTAAGTGCTTTTGACGGTCCCTAGCTAAAAAGAAATGTTACATTGAGAAAACAGTTTTTACGCAGTTTCGAAGCTGATTCACTAATCAACTAACCTTTATCGAGTTTTTTTAAGAAATATATTATTGGTAAACCAAACTTAATTATATTTTTGCTACAGACCGTTAAAAATTATAACACTAAGTGGGCCGATAGATGTGTCCTAGGGTGTATTTAACTTACAATGAAATTTTGCATACACGATTAGTTTGGACCACAACTCATTGTTAGGTTAGGTACCTATGTAACATCCAAGCACACAATAGTGTACTAATAAATAGAAATTGATCGATGCTATTGGTCAATTTCTTTAACACTGCTCAGCTCCGCTTTTGTGGAAACGAAGCCTTATTTTAAATTCAATATGCCGAATGGTACATGATCGCGGACTAGTGATTTTCATGCGCTTCCATGATATATTTGTTAAGACGTCTACTACTATGTAAAGTCTATGTTTAATCATTATTTGAATAGAATCTTGTTATTAAAATAACTTATTTACCCACAGAGTGGACGACATCGTGTTGAACATAGATTTGGCTCCAACATTCCTGGACATGGGTGGGGTTGAGCCGCCCGCGCATATGGACGGTCGATCGTTGCTGCCATTGCTTCAACCAAGACGAAGGCGTATGGCCACGCATTGGCCAGATACTTTCCTTGTTGAGAGGTAGGTAAATGCTCTATACAAGTTCAAAGGTAGGTAATTTCTCAATCAATTATCCTTTGATGATGACGAGAAAAAATACCTGTCATATTGAACATATTTTGTTTTTGTGTAATTAATACCTATCAATTACAGAACAATATGAATAAAATCTTAATCACTTGGCTGAGTTGTTAAACGATACTGTTATAACAAGTTATTAACTATCGGCAAATGCATCCAATTGGATGCCACTCTTTAATGAACAGTCCAGGCGTCAAAGAATCATCGAAAAATATGTCTGTCGCTATTTTTGACTTCAGAAAGACTGCACCATATTGTCAAAACACTCCATAAGCATGAACATTTTTTTTGTAATAGTCAATAAAAATACCAGGAAATTCCTAAATCGTCTGCTTTTGTATTGAAGATCGCTAATACACACTAGTTTAAAAAAGTTCCTATCATTAGTAAAATCATTAATCGCTGCAAAGAGTTTATTAAAAGTTTAAATTATGGACTTTTTAATAAATTCAACTAGGTATTTTAATAAGTTAATTTTCTGTTTTTACTAGTTCGGGACGCCGCGAAACGCAAGCTCATTTAGCAGCCGCCAAATACAGTCGACATATGAACCAAGCCACGTCCTCTCCTACGCAAGCACCAGACTCTTCTTCAGAAAGCGGCGACTTCGATGATGATGTCAACGATGATGACTTCTTGGACCCCGATGATGAGGAAGACGATGATGAAGATGTAAGTAAACAGAATTATAATTTCAACATACTTAATTATAGATATTTGAACATTGCTAAGATGATGAAGATGTGAATAAAAAGAAATATTATTTCAACATACTAGGTGTTACTTAGATCTTTGGAATATTTTTTAAGTGTATGGTTTTGGTTTGTTTTAAGGTAGATGGCAGTCTTTAGTTCTTCTTCAGAGTGTTCGGTTGTCAAACGTAAAAATTAGGCAACTTTCGCAATAGTCGGTTATAGGTTGGATTAAGTACTACAAATTTATTATCTCGAGCTCCTCCATGCTTCGGAAGGCACGTTAGGCCATTGGTCCAGGCTTTATCTGCAGTTATTAGCACCCACCAATCCGCTCTGGTAATACGCCAACCACGCCACGCCAACCCACGAGATACAGCGAAGGCCTGTGCCCCAGCAGTAGAGTCAGTATTACTTACTCTACTGCTGGAGCCTGATGATGATAATAACATGTTTAGCTTAAAATACGACCCCAAATTCTTTTAAAATTGCACTAGGTATATACCTATACTAAGCGTGGTTCTGGCTTATAAATAATTCGTGGACATAATGTGCTTTTAATTGATTACAGGACAGTAATGAAAGTCAATCAAACGAGCCCAAAAGCTCGTCCGAACCGCTGGTGACCAATGAGAGCCACAACCCTCTTTTGGAAGCAAGCCTTGAAAAAGCCCTAGAGGAAGCCAGCACTAACGGTCAATCATATTATTTGAACCCTACAGGTTAATTTTATTCCCTATATAAAATGAACTAGTTCTATTTCAATCTATCTGTCATATTATTGTATCATTATTTAAAAATCTATATTTTTCTTTTAGAAGAAGCAGATTCACCTTTATCAAACGGTAAAGCTGCTCGCCTCGCCGCTGAGTGTTCTAAGGCAGAACTAAGAGCGCCTTGCTCGTCAGGAAGAAAGTGGAAATGTGTTTTAGTAAATGGGAGATGGCGACGACACAAATGCAAATATGAAGCTGAAATAAGCACTCCCTCTCCTAAAATGAGCACAAAAAAGTGTGCCTGTTTCACACCTAGTGGTCTCGTTTATACTCGACTAGAAACCGATGGAACGATAGCGAGACGACCTAGCGATACTACTAAACAAAGCAACAGTACGAGAGCTCGAAGATCCATTGACAGCGATAACGATGTATTTGAACCAAACACTGTTGATAGTATTTTGAAAGAAAATCCTAGTATAGGACATCTCAGTTTCGGGAACGAACCTGTGGATGAGGAATTAAACGAAAGTTTCAAGAATAATATTGAGAAGCTCATCAAAGAAACTGAAGCCTTTTTGAGAGCTTACGAACATACCAAAGATAATGTAGGTTTAAAGAGAATTAAAAGAAGAGCTCAGCATTGGAATCATAACAACCATAATAAGCATAAGCAAAAACATAACGCTGTTGTCAACAGTAACGAATCATCGTTAGAATGTAAAATAGAAAAAGACGGGACAGTCAACTGTTCACAAGTTATTTATAATGACTTAAGAGCGTGGCACACAAATAGACTAAGCTTAGAAGACCAAATAAGACAATTGAGAACAAAACTAGAGGATTTGAAAGAAATAAAGAGACATTTGAAAACCACAAAGCCAGCTGTAGAATCGCACGCAGTAGACTTATTGAATTTTACACTTCAATCCCCTAATAAGACAGTACACCATCATAATAGTTCAAAAGAACATCTCCGAATGAGCAGGTTGCATAGAATTAGACCTAAGTCTAGGAATAACACTTCCTTTGACAAGAAATTTAGGCAGTCAAACGAATATATCATGCCGACGGCAAATGCTAATACCAAAGATGATGTTTTTGATATACAAATGAAAAACGACACAGATATTGATACAACAACAAATTTTAATATATCTGAAGGTGCGTTAAGTAGTAATTTAACAAATATTCCCATGTCTGAGTTACCTAAACCACTAGTAACAACAGTTATAATTGAAAACAATAACTATTTTCAAAGTGTAGCAGATAATGATAATGCAACAATAAAAGCTGCTGAAACAAGTACAAGTGACATTAGAATACACACGGATAACATTTTTGAATCACCAAAAAATATAGATGTTACAACAGAACCGAGTTCAACCATTAACTTTTCTCAGGCCGCACAAGTTTTTAGTACTGCTATTGATAAATTATTGACCACAGAAAAATCTTTGTACAGTACAACTGAAACTGATATAAATTATTCTATGACTCCGATTGAAGTGACATCACAAAAATTAGGACCAACAAGATTCGATGCTTCAGAATATGAAGAAAGAAACCCGAACAAAGATTCATCGAAAAATATAAGTATTTTCAATAGGCAATCTAACGTTTTCCAAAGGAGACTTAATCCATTGTATATTGAAAATGAAGATAAACATGTATGTTACTGCGAAGAAAACCGGTATGTAACTTTTAATAGTTTGAACTAAACATACTAAGGTACTATCTTGAAAAGGGTGTTCATATTATTTTACTTTGTTTTAGTAAATCACGAGGTCCGGGACATTCTTATTTAGAGGCAGCCCAAAAAGCAAGAGATGAACGCAGAAAGTTAAAAGAGCAGAGATTGCGAAAGAAGTTAAGGAAAGCCAAAAAGAAGGTATATAATGATATTGATCATAATAAGTTACAAATAAATATTTGTCCACGAATGGGTGTGAATTAGATCTCCTTTAAAGTATTAAAGTGAGTACACTAAAACGAACAGGTACTGCATTTTTTTTACCTTTTTAAAATTTTGGATTTTTTATTATTTTAAATCTAAAGAAAATTTTACTAGAAAAAATTCTGCTCGCCCGGATAGCGGAGGGTGCGGTTTCGAGTCCCGTCTGCTGCCTGGTCCGCGTGGATTTCTTTCTAGTAAAACTGATACTGTTAAAAAATTATGTGTATTTTAGATAGTACCTACCTGTTAAACCGTTTGGAAAATAAAATTGGAACTTGAAAATTAATGGCGAATATTGGCTTGGCCGAGGAGGAATTACCATTATTAGTTTTATGAGTTGCTAATGATCAACAAAAAATTATAGGCAACTATTCTCTAAAAGCTTACTTACTGCAGATGGATTACTGAAAGTAACCGTATGAGCGTAGTGAGTGTAGTCAAAAGTCAAAGTTTAAGTAAAGTAGTAGGTAGCTTTCGCGCGTCTTTTCTCTATACATATATGCTAACTTCTTCTTAGCCTCAAAACGTAAATATGTATTGAATATTATAATTTTAATCATTAGGCCGAATTGGAGAAACTCTGCGAATCGGAGCGAATGAATTGCTTCCGTCACGACAACGACCACTGGCGAACTGCACCACTATGGACAGCAGGGCCTTTCTGCTTCTGTATGAGCGCTTCCAACAACACTTACAACTGCGTGCGGACCATTAACGCGACGCACAACCTTCTCTACTGCGAGTTTGTCACGGGATTAGTCACCTACTACAATCTGAGGATTGGTGAGTTTTTACTAAATAGATCTTTATAAGTTGATAGCAAAAGGTTTTCGGTCCATAAACGCGACACACGGCCTTCACTACTGCGTTTTTGTTACGCGATCTTTACCTACTACAATCTGAGAATTGCTGAGATTTCATTAAATAACTAAAAGCTGATAGTAAAATGTGTTCGGAGTCCGAACTTCAGGCCATAAACGCGAGTCGAAGCGTCTGAATGGCTTCCGTCACGACTACGACCACTGGCGAACTGTTTCACTATGGATAGCAGGGCCTTTCTGTTGCTATATGAGCACTTCCTACAACACCTACAATCGTGTTCGGAACATTAACGCGACGCACAACCTACTCTACTGCGAATTTGTGACAGGATTAGTTACCTACTTGTCCTACATTTTCAGAATTGGTGAGTTTTTACTTATAGATCTTTATAAGTTGACAGCAAAATGTGTTTAGTCTATAAACGCGACACACAACCTAAGAATTTGTTACGGGATTGGTCACCCATTAATAAAATCTGAGCATGTGTATTAATATTTGTATGTTTTTTACTCAATCACTAAATAGATAGATTTGGATTTTCGGCACATTATAGTCTTATTGCCTATATGCCCCAAGCACGAATAACTAGCGAGAAAGTGTTCGTATCGAAAGTATAGAATCTTTGACATGGCGATACTAACTTTCTCGCTATTTGTTCGTACTCGGGATATTGGATCGATATAGGAAACTTTTGTCCCGGAACAATGTTAGGTTCCCAAACATTGAAAATAGCGATGGAGTGGAATTGCCTGCCAGCGTCAGTGCTTCCGAATATATACAATACACCTCTATAAAGCCAGAGTGAATAGATGAGCTCGCTACACCATAGATCCCATCTTTGCTTTCGCGTTGGGATAGGGATCAAAAGGAAACCGAAATAAAAAAAATTGACTTGAATAGTACCTAAAATTTTAATATTTTTCGAAATCGTAAAATCTACATTTTTTCTATTTTCAGATCCATTCGAAACTCAAAATAGAGTAAAGTATTTAACTACAGCTGAAAAAGAATATTTCCACAATCAACTTCAGCAGTTACTAAGTTGTCGGGGACCATCATGTCGAAGATTTTCACATTCAAATACTGGTGGGTACCCACTATCTACCTTAAAAACATAAATCTCAAAACTATTTAAATAAATAAATAAATATTTCCAACACTCACACCAATTAGCCTAGCCCCAAAGTAAGCACTGTAAGGCTTGTGTTAAGGGATACTAGGTTAACCTATATAATACATACACTGTACATATATAAGTATATTCATATAGAAATACATATTAAACATCCATGACTGGAGTACAAATGCTCGTATTCATCACACAAACATCTGCCCCCACCGGGATTCGAACCTAGGACGTATCGAGTCGGCGACACCATGAAACCCGGCGTATAAACCACTCGGCCACGGAGGTCGTCAAGTGTGACAAGTTTGCTCATGTGTGACTCGATTAAAATTAATAATTTAAGATTTTCTCTGTGATTTCATTGACTTCTAAAATCTTGTATTTTTAGGCAGTAGTGAAGAGACTTTAAACAGGAGATTCGAAGACGATCATCGATATAGAGATCTAATAGGATATAATGAAAGGTTAGTATGATACCTTAAAATAATATAATTTGTGAAAACACTATAGTTTAGCCAATCAATGAGACAAATCAAAAATGTGGCTCTGATTCCATCCCATAGTAATTAGCGAGTGTTTATGCCCTGGTAACCAGAAACAGTCAATGTAAGACTAATATTTTTAAAACGTCGTAATTGAAATTAAACCCTTTCTAGAAAACCTGGCACCTTTATTCGCCAAAAAAGATACAGAGACATTAGGTTAACTTTATTTTAACCTTTACCAACTCAAGAAATTAAATGAGCATGAAAAGTAAGCTAAGTTTGTAGATTTCTAAAACAAGTAGGAGAATTTGTGTTTCTAATATTTATGCTACCACTCAATAGGTCGTGGCGATGGAATGGCTACGGTCGCCGTTTCGCTAGAGAGAGGCTTCACAGGCGTCGTCACGCCATGGCATTCTAGTCTACCCACATTCGATAAATTTGGTATCTCTAACATGATAAGCAGAACCTGTATTAAAACGAAAATCAAAGATGGCTGAAATGAGGCGTAGAATGAAAGATAATATTCGTACGCAGGTGTTCTAATTGTTGACTTGTGATTCAATACAACAAAATGATTTAGAATAGCAAAACCTACACATTGGAATAAGATAATTTTAATTTATGCATCGAATATAGTAGGGCTTCCTTTACATTTTCGGCTAGTTTTCATGAATGGAAGATTCTTATATTATTACGAATATTAATAGGTTAAATGAACATTATTAGATTTACACAGCTTTAGTAGATAGACTCCGCTGATATTATGTGCCTATTTATAACAAATATATCTATATAGTATTTCTCTGATTTATATTAGCATTTTGGGAGACAAATAAGCAACTAAAGCAGATACACTTTTATGTTATCAAAATAGTAATAACAATTACAGGTTTCTTTGTTCATGATAATCTCGGATTATCTTTTATTGCATTATGGCATATTTTCTGATAAATATTGTTATGATTGTCCTTTATCGGAGTTCTTCAAAGATGAGATAAAATAACAGACATACAATTCAAATTTATGTTATTGATTTTTGCATCAATTGAACCTTTTTAATTCCAAATTGATTTACTATGTAAATTTTAAATTATCCATAAATACTGATTCTTGGTTTTCTGAGAAAACTTGAAAGTAAATGTTATTTATATTATTATGTGATTATTTTTCAGTAAGTGTGATAGTATTAAGTTCAGCGACTTGTAAATCATTAATTTCAATGAATTTTATATCTTTATAAGTTCAGTAAATTTATTTATATCGTGTATTACAGTCAATATCACTAATTTGTTATGTCAGTGGACAAATTCATAAAGGGTTCCAACTTAAATTGTTGGGATTGTTTTGATATTTGGGATTTGTTTTGATTTTGATAGTTGGGAATTGTTTTGTATAAAGGACAATGTTAAAATTGGCCTAAGAACCAACACCAATTAGGCATTTATGATAATTCTTAGTATATTTTTTGCGATGATTATCAGTATTTAGATTGTCACGGACACTTCCAGTTAAGTAAGCTAAATTAAAAAGTTAAAAAATAATCTGAGATAATAAATACCATTTTATGTGTATGATCTATGACAGCGCTGCAAACAAAACACTCTTTCTTCCTAATGCCGGCACTTCACTTGGCTATTCACAATTCAAAAACATGACATCAGTCTGTCCTTTTCATTTCTTATTAAGCATGACAAGGACAAACTGTTGTCAAGTGAAGGGCCGGCATAAAACTCGATAATCTGTGGTTGTGGTGCAGGCAGTTTGCATTCGTAGTAATCTGTGGCATTCGTGCATCCTCGTTTCGGATTACCTGTTGTGTGTGTTTATTTGCGATTGTTTTTCCTTTAATTTATCTATTACGGCTATCTATTATGCCATATATATGCCAAGAGCAGAGACCTTATTACCAAGTGCTAGTGAATCTGTGCCACTACATCCTGATAGGATCATACTGCCAAATTATTCAAGAGCACCTGATACACATTGACGCTGCATATTTACACAATATACAAATACATGTGATATACAAATAAATACAATATGATAACATTATGTGAAAATAGTCAATAAATAAGAAGCAAAACTACAATTTTTATTATATTCATGCTTCCTACCTAACAAAGTTTTTCCTAATAGTTATTCTTTAAAATCGCTCCGAATATAATGAATTAGTTGTAATATTAATTCACTTCATACTGAGTTCATAGGTACTAAGTTCAAAGGTTGACCTATGCTTCATTGAATATGAAACATAACCTCTATTTTTTTTTGTTTTCCTAATAATTTAAGTTCTCAGAAGTGTCCGTCAATAATCCTTGTTTTTACAGTCATTAACTTGCGATTTCGAACCTAGAAAATAATATTTCATGATTGTTGGTTCTTAGGCCAACTATGTATGGACGCAGAACAATGTCCTTTTAGTGCTTTTATATTTCTAGTTATTAATTCAATGACAGCAATAAATTATAATTTCATAAAAAACCCAATTAATATTTTCATATTATTGAAATATTGAGAATTACATATGTATTAAAGAAGTTTTAATCACATTTGCTTCCCAGTTTATGAATACTATAAAATGAATTAGTATGTTTGTAGTTCACTATTTATCAAGTAGAAGTTATTGTAAAAGTGATATAAAATGTTGCCATTGTGATGATTATGTGTACTGGTTGTAATAATAAAATTATGAAAACTAAATCTCATTTATTTATTTCTTAAATAGTTATTTTTAAACAAATACAACAGCCTTTAGATATCTAAGCAGTTATCAATTTCATCAGCACTACATAAAGAGAATAGTTCCTTCAGATTCTCTTTACTTATCTGTTCTTTTTTATTATTGTGATCTAATTCATTTATTTTAGTCTGATTATTATTTTTATATTCAGCCAAATTATTTGGATTAGTTGAAAGAATCGTGCGGTTTGTATCCTTATCATTGACATTATTATTGCTCTTGATAACATAATCCGAATTTGATATATCCTTAGTGTATTCAATTCTTTCATATGTTACTACGTCATTCAGATCAGTTGGAAATAGGATCCAGTTTGATTGTTTTAGGTTGATATCTGTAACCAACTTCTTTTCATCATCATAGTTTGCTAAATTGCACTTTGAATTTGAAGTGTTATTGGTGTTTATATTTATTTCATCAAATTGAGATTCATACACATTTGAAGGCATAGGCATCTCAGTTTTTGATATCTCCTCTTGTTCATTTCCAGATTCTGTGAACTTAGCCCATTTGGAATTAGCATTTATGATAGGTGGTATAAATTTTAATTTTGAAGGTTTACTTGTCTGTAATGTTTTAGAACAATTTTGTATAGAAGCAGTACAAAAATCTAAATTTTCCAAATTATTATAGTCCTCTTGTGATTTGTTTTTTTCTGAAAACTCATCAAAAGTTGTTTCTTTTTGGAGATTACCATATTTGCACTTCGTTTCAGCAGTATTTTGAGTTACAGATTCTATGGTTTTAGCATATGATTCAATGCTATATTTTTCTTGGCTTCCTAAATCAATTTCTGGTTTTGCCATTTTATATGATTTCTGTGGCCTTTCGTTATCGTAAGATCTTTTTTGACGTTTTTTCTTTGGAATATCTAAAACAACTTCTTTATTTTCAAGGAACATTGTTTTATCGCCTACATCAGTGGTTTCAATTGCTTCATATTTATCAACATATTCTGACCACTTGCTAGGTTTTTTCTGTGTGAGATCAATAGATGAGGAGACTTCAACATCTTCATCTTCACTTACCAAATAGTCTTCAGTTATTTTCAAATCATTTAATTCACCTCTCATAGCATTTAGTTTTTGCACATGACCTCTGCATTCTTGACCATTACCAACTCCATAATGACGTTTTATAGATTGCTTTTCTCCACACATTTTGCATGCAAACTTGTTTGCTTTCTTGGTTTGGTGAACCTGAAATGATAAAATCACATAGAGTAGAACCCATTTAATACGCTCACGCTTAATACGATTTCTCGCATAATACGCCATTCTGAGTCAGTCCCTGCAACTTGAAACATGTTTTCATACATTTCTTAATGCTTAATACGATTTGTCATCCCATTTAATACACCTAAATTGCCAACATATACCACACATATTCTACCTCTTGATAACACACAAGATGCCCTAAGTGATAATGATTAAGAAGAAGATACGTCAACTCCGATTTTGTCACACGCCCAGGCATTATCAGCAGTTAATGATTTAAGAGGCTACGTAACTTCTTTGAATCAAAGCGAAGACGCACTGCAAAAGTTAATTTATGTTGAAAATTTTGTAATTGGTAGTGCCTAAAATCTTTATGACAAACTAAGTATGTGATTATTTTAAATCACGTAATTATAAAAGACTACATTTTATATAACGTACATAATTCTTAAATATTGTACATTTAATACCGCAATACTTACGACATAATAATAGAATATCCTAAATATTAATATGTATTATGTTTTTTCTCCTATAACGCATAATAAGCTTTCCCGCTTAAGACTCGTTTTTGGTTGAGTCCCTGCGAAAACGTCTTAAACGGGTTTTACTGTACTTAGTTTGCAGAATTAATTTAATTATTTCGGTTAGGAAAATATCAAATAGTGTATATCATACTCCTCTTCCTCTTACAGCCTCTTGATAAGAAGAGGAGCATTCTTTTTTCTGACATAATCATTTTTTTTAATATATCAGAAACTGTATCTGCACATAAGGGGAGATAAGGGTGTTAGGAGAATGTGATAATTCCCAGATTCACAGTAAAATAACACTACTTTTTGGTGGCGTAGTGTTTCAGACAGTCAGTAAGGTTCCAGCGCTTCGTGAGGTACGGGATTACTTCAAGGCAGGGAACTGTGCGTGTGATGTTTTTGGTATTGCAAGCACCTATATGCTATGGCGGCTTACCATCAGACGGGCTAAAAAAATATAAATTATATACTGCTCAAGAAGGAATTTTTGGCACTACACAAGCAATATTTTTTACAAAAATAAATCACTTTAAAACTAAGACTTACAAAAACTATGTAATATGATAGGTACTTACTTAAGGTTTATACCATTATAGTTATTTATACTTATACAATTTTACTTGCATTAAAAAAATGCAAAAGTACCTTTCAGTCTAATATATAAAATTCACGTGTCGCGGTGTTTGGGGTTAAACTCCTCCGAAACGGCTCGACCGATTTTCGTGAAATTTTATATGCATATTCAGTAGGTCTGAGAATCGGATGCAATCTATTTTTCATCCCCCTAAATGTTAAGGGTAATCCACCCCTAAATTTTTTTTTTTCAATTTTAGATATATTTTTTTTTTTTTTTTTTTTTATGATACAGCATTAGTAAATACATACAACCCTAAATTTATACTTTTCTACCACTAACCCCTATTTTTTTATGGCGGTACGAAGTTCGCTGGGACAGATCGGACAACATCTATTTTTCATCCCCCTAAATGATAAGGGTAATCCAACCCTAAATTTTTTTTTTCAATTTTAGATAAAAAATTTTTTTTTATGATACAGCATTAGTAAATACATATAACCCTGAATTTTCAACCCTTTACAATCAACCCCTACTTTGCCATCGCTATTTTATTTTAAATAATTTCTTTTTTTTTCTCAATTCAATTTGATCTTTCGCCTTCACCGGTCGATAACCGATCAACGATCAATCGATCAGTTATCCCCGCCAGATGTCTACCTGGGTCACCTCTCATCCAGCAAACATCACGGAGTAGGGATGAGAAGGAAGCCGGTCTACTGTCTTCCTCAATATACAGTTTTCGGCCATGTTTTTTTGTTTCATTTGTGTATCGATCGTAGCAGTGACTTATACGTATTATTTTAATTTTTCTGTGCTATTATTTATCTATTACGTTAATTTTACTCTCATCGTGAATTTATTATTAATTTCCAGTGCAATAATTATTTTTTCACATTTTATTAATAACTGATAGACAGTTTTAACTATTAGCCGAAACGGCTCAACCGATTTTCGTGAAATTTTATATGCCTACCGAATATACGTCTGAGAATCGGACATCTATGTTTCATCCCCCTAAATGTTAAGGGTGGTCCCTACTTAAACAATTTTTTTTGGACCATCATCATACAAAAATACATACAACCCTAAATTTTCACCCTTCTACCACCAACCCCTATTTTTTATGGTGGTACGAAGTTCGCTGGGACAGCTATATAGTAGGTATTTCTATAGATATTCAATATACAGATGGTGACATTGTAATGCTCCCTCCATACCTATATAAATAATTATAAAAAAGTGGCTTCAGACTTTCACATTTCAGAACCAATACAATATTAAAAAAAAGAACAAGCGCAAGACACAATAGAACGTGACGTAAGCAGTATTCGAAAATTTTAAAAAATTTAAAATTGAATGCCGTAGAATGAAAACCAAGGTTCCCCTAAGCGATGCGTGTGGAACTGAATTTTCTTTCATTGAATTTACGTCCTTCAAATTTGTTTGTGTAGCTTTTGTAAAATTGTTTTTTCGTTATATAGTGAAAAGCTCTTCCACTGTTTCCTTTTGTTTATTCGTTGTTAATTTTTTTTTGTATTCAAGATATAAATACTGATTCATTATATTTACACAGTATTTAATACACCCGTGTAAAGCCGGGACGGGCCGCTAGTATTAAGTATAAATTTTCCTTCTTCTAAGTAATAAAATTTTAAGTTTCAGCTCCTGGGTCTGGGAGCTGAAAATTTTATTGCTAAAAAGATCTCTATTAACTATTTTTTGCTGGCGCTTCGCTGGCCACTGCTTGCTTCGCTCGCTCGGCGGGTGTGTCATGCTCACAACACTAACCTAACCTAGTATAAATTGTCAACTCCCGGGCCCCAGTACAGTTAGTCCTTTATTCGGTTGTTATTTACTTACGGCCAGTTTCAATAATCGAACTGCAATAAAAGATAAACCTACTCAAGGTTTGTTGCTTAGATATGTTTATTATGGTGGTACTCACTTGAAATACATTGCACATGTAACATCTCAATATTTGAAATACTTGGGGCATAGTTGGGCCAAAAACGAGCGAAACAACCACACTTTGCAAAAATGATTCAAAGTTGAAGAGATTTAGGTGTCCTATCTGACACCTATCTGAAAAATCCCTTTTGTTCAGTTGAACAGCAAGTACTAAAATATAAGTTAATTTCAAATTTATTATGGGCACAAGTTAACAAAAAATAGAATATATAATTTGTTTGTTTCATCAACCGTTCTTCTACAAGAGTAGTGATCCCCGAGCTGTATGAGCTGTTATGAAATAAATTAAAACAATAACATACAACCAAAACATCAATGTAAAATCAAATGTCACTCATGTAATGTCAATCAAGGTTTTTTTTTAAGATTCTCTCTTTTTATAGAAGGCAAAGGGAATAATGCTCATACAGCCTAGCCTTAGGTTATATCTATATATATGTGTATATATACTGACAACGTTTACGCATGCATTCTAATGTTTCATAATGTTTGGCACGAAATGTATCTTGTTGACTTTTTCGATAAGCTTCTGTTAGGTAGTCAACACTCCAATAAAGTTCTCACGTCCACTTGATCGGGATAGCGTATATTTTAGTCTTAGTCGTAGTCTTAGTAGTACGGCGCCAGCGGGCTGTTTCCAGAACTCGACACCCAGTGCCTATTTGGCGTGGGGACTGGCATCAGTCCTGCCATCCCAGCTCCTCCAGAAACTCAGCAGTCCCCGGATGTTGCTGCAGGCTTCTACTAGTCAAGGACGGATTCAGTTTTGGCGCCAGGGGGGGCATATAGTCGTGGTCAAGTCACAGTGGGTACAGATTGTGAAGTGGGTACAGATGGACCCAGCCCAGGGGGATTTTATTCAAGTACTTTCAATATTTAATATACCACGACTATATGGACCCCCCCCCCCCGCCCCCCTGGTGCCAAAGCTGGATCCACCCTTGCAGTTCCCTGGATCCGCCCTTCCCAATAAACATTTAGGCGTCAATTAGAGCTTGTTTTAGAACTGACCGAGATATAAAGGCGCTACAGCAGCAGCACTTACAACTTTTGGCGACAAAAGAGCGTAAACAAGCAAAATATTTCACGTAGAGCTATACCACAGATTTACAAGGGTGATAACAGGGTGAGTTTAAAGGTTAAAGACATACAGCAGCATTTTTTAACTCTACAACGATGTCGATTCTGGCATGATTCTCTAAAGCTAAACTTAAATTTGACAACAGTGCATCCTTGTCATTCTCTATACAGAATGAAAAGGAGAGACTGATGTTAAATTTAGTTTTAAGTTTAGAGAATCACTCTAGAATCGACACCAATATGGGCAAAGCATCTTGTGTTATAGCTTTAAGTGAATCTTACAACTATAAGATCTAAATAAGAAGTGAGCATTGACTACAACCCCCCAAAGTGCTATGCAAGCGATAATAAACTCTCGCCAAGAACCAAAAGTTGCACAAAAGCAATAATTACCACTACCAGTTCCACAATGGTGCTCATAAATTCTTTTGTACCACCAAATGCCTAAAGAGGTACAAAATGCTCAAAAAGCTTCTGTTAGGTAGTCAACACTCCAATAAAGTTCTCACGTCCACTTGATCGGGATAGCGTATATTTTAGTCTTAGTCGTAGTCTTAGTAGTGAGTGAGTTACTAAAAGTCGAACAGCAGAAACATTCTTCGCTATGATAGAACTTCTAGTGGTTATTGTGACTTCTGTATAACTTTAGGTAGAGTAATAGAGCTTAATACCACTTCTGTACCCCTCATTCGTTTACTTGTTGTTGATAGTAATGCAATGGCGACGCAACTAAAAAAATGTAAAGCAACCAAAAATGCTTGGAAACGTCAAAGTAGGACTGGTGGAAATAGATGAAAATTGTTGAGAGAATATCATAATCTTTTAAACTACTCTGTTTCTGTTGAGGATCCAAAATTAATACAAGAAAATGTAATTGTGAGTGATAATAGCACTACAAGTAGTCAAGCGGGAGTTTTTTGCGAAAAAGTGGAACTGGGTTCCGTACATGATTTTCCAGAAAATGTGTGTGAAAGCGGTGCTACAAGTACAAGCGATCATGAGAAAGTACTTTGCGAAAATGTGGATCGAGGTTCCGCGTACTCCGCAAATTTGATTGATATTGAAGAAAATTGTGACAGTGAGGACGAATCCAATAACGTTTTAAAAAATCTTAATTTTCGCTTTAAAACAAAACATAAGTCAAATACCTATGAAAGATTTGCTGTCAATCTTAAATGAGAGGTTTTGCAATATTCTTCCAAATGATCCTCGCACTCTTTTAAAAACACCTAGAAATATTTTGATAAAAACATTGGAAAATTATGGCGAATTGGCACAATGGCATTTCTGGACCATTGAAAAATATTTTAGAAAACATTGACAATTTACCTGATATTATTTATTTAAATTTTAACTTTGATGGTCTACCCATACATAACAGTTCCAAAAAAGAATTTTGGCCAATTTTAGCTAATATTCACTAAGTTGACGCGGATCCATTTGTCATTAATGTCTATTTCGGAATTGGAAAACCAAAGAACTTAAAAGAATATTAAGAAGAGTTTGTCATTGAGACTAAATGTCTACTACAAGACGGACTTGAAATAAAAAACAAAAATATTTCTGTCAAAATCAGATGTTTCATTGTTTCAAAAAAATGAAACTACATTTTTGTAGCATTTTAAACTTATTTTAATACCGTCAGACCGACTGCTACCACTCCAGGAACACTTACACAAAAAATCGCATGTGAACATAAGATCTATTAGCGTATAGGCACAGTTTATTCCTTTCCCACCGGAACACACTATCGAATAAGTTTCTTTTAATTGCTCTCTAGCCGTTTTTTCGGAGAGTACCTTTTCTATTTTATTTAATTCTTCAATACTGCTGATTGGTGCGACACTGAACGATATTTACACTTTTTACTGTAAACGACTGGACCGATTTTGATGAAATTTTTTGTGTGTGTTCAAGGGGATCTGAGAATGGTTTAGATTCACAATTTTGTCCGCTGGACAACCCCTATTTTTTTAGGGCGGTACGAAGTTCGCTGGGTCAGCTAGTATCATTATAAAATTATTTTACGAGAGTAATAAATGGTAGGTATTGTAGCAATCGGATCTTTTTGGTGTATACTGGCAGGTTATAAGGTAACTAGCAAACCTGTGAACCAAATGTTCACCAAAAAAAAAAATAAATATTTAATTAATTGAGAACTTCGGAGATTTTGTGTGGTTTCGTTTGATATAGAAATCACGTGATTTCTCGAAAACCGGAAGTGCTACGTTACTCACATCCGGTTTGTAGTCTTATCAGACTATTCTTAACTTATAACTTAAACATTCTCTATATCTATCTCTTATGGTTTGGCCGCTGAAACAGCACCACGGACGGACGGAAGGACTTGTCTAATAGATAAGAGATTTGGAAAAGAGACGGATTGTTGCCAGGAATTCATAGCTGGAAAATAAAAAATAGGGATATATTGTTTTAAACTTTCATGGTCACTAACATTATAGATATTAACGGGATTGTTACCATGTACCTTGTTTTTTATGAGTATATTTGTGAAATATCGGAGACTCATAAAAAACAAGGTACATGGTAACAATCCCGTTAATATCTATAAAAATAGGGATATTTGTGCGGAGTTTAAAAAACAATATTTTGTTTATTGATAATAATAATGTAAAATGTTCTTGAAAAAAAAAAAGTGTTTCAATGATAATAATTAGTTTGCATGAAACGATCCCTACAGTACCAGTAAGATTTACCTACATTGTAGGTAATTTCCTTACCCGACTGCGCCATGACTTACAAATAAATATAACTTGTATGTTTAAAATAATACTCTTTTATTGATTTATGTAAGAATAAAAATCAGCAGTCGGGTTTTTTACAAGCTTTTAATGAACTTGCAATATAGGTAGAACTTTCGGGTGGAATCTTGAAACTCAATTTTGAAGCAGATATCTTCAACCGGTTGAGCTGAATTTTTTGTTAGGTACACGTTTTGATTAAAAAGCACGGTTAGCTGTGTGACGTCATTCTAAATCCAACTTGGCGGAATAGTTATTTTTAATGCATTCCTACGATATGGGTATATGGGCTTGTGGAGAATCTTTCCATATAAAATAAAATATATACAATCACAAAACTAGAAAGAAACTCAATTATGTAGATGAAATTAAAATACTGTAGGCGGGCGGCCCTACCGCGTGCTAACGCAGCGCTCGGCCGTAGGCATTTATTTCAAGGACATGGCGGAGTCACAATACTGTATAGATAATATTACCGTGTTAGAACTCTTAGGTATGGTGGGAGTACTTCACCAGGTGCAAGGTAGCGCCCCTTGTTTTATTTTGCCGCTCTCGAGTACTTAAATCCAAAAATCCTCACGCCCACTTACCCGACTCCACTCCCACTCAGCAAAAAATATATACCTAATTCAATTATGGGTTTGAAATATTGTTCCATAGATATACTTTATATTGGCAACATAAATTAGCAGACAGCTCGCTCGACGGGTAACGGTACAGAACAGAAAAAAATACTGTTCTGTGGGCTGCAAATCGTGATCCTGGGTGCCAGATTTTACGATACGCCCCCATTAATCCTTCAACTCCTAGGTTGCTCTATACAGGTACAAATGCTTGTATTTCATAATATGCTGAATCTCTTCATATGTTATACGCCATTCTTTTCAATTTTACACAGGGAGCACATTTTCTTCTTATTTGAACCTTGCTTTCTTCGCCCCTTTCTTCTTATTTGAACCAGTGGAAAACAGTTTCTTTTTAGAAGGGCTTTTGTTTATGAACGCCATTCGAACGAAGTCTATCAAATGATTCGATTCGAAATTTACGAAAACTTTTTAACGAAACTAAGTTTCGTCAAAGGTTCTCTTGAAGCAAAACTTCTGAGTAGTTATCGCCACCAAAATTTTATTTTTTGCTGGAAATTAGAAAACGCGCAATTGGTTGTTATGAGAATTAAATAAAATAGCTAAATATGTAGATATCATTTAATTTCTGAGCCACATTCATCACAGATTTTGTATTATATACTTTATTTTACAAAATTTGACACTTGATAGATAGGTAAGTAGGTACATTGATATATATTACTAATTTCTATTACTTAGTATGTTTTATTCGTCTTTAAATAAAATCAAACATGTTGGAATTCCTATTTGTTAGTGCGATTTCTGGGCTTAAAATTTATCAGTATCTGCTTCACCAATCAGAATAATCTGGGTACGTAAACAAGTAGGTAAGTACTTATGTATAGGAAGCGGCGTAGCGGCAGACTTCTTAAACAAAATCACAAACAAATATGTAACTTGCGCAGTAGACGTTTTTGTATGTAAAACTGCTACTGCGCAGACTTCCTTGTCTATGATCGATGCCCAAGAAGTTTGCCGGGTGGTGCCGTGATTTATTGGAATGACACGCTTACACTTTATTCAACTTCCTCTGAGACAAAAGATAAATAAACCAATGTTTCTAAAACTATTTTATCGAGGATGGCCGCTGTAACCAGACTGATTACAAAATTCCACATTTCTACATAAATTTTTTGCTTTATTCATTGCATGCATTTAAAGTGTAGGAATAGCTAGAGTAATTAAGATTTTTTAGTGCAATTTTTTTAAGTATAATTTTATATGCGTTTAAAATTCGACTTAATGAAAAAAAAAAGGTTTGTTTACCTTTTGTCGAAGCGGAAGTTGAATAGAGTACAGTATAATAGAGTGTAAGTACTTATAGTCCAAGATCTCAGGGCCACAGAGGCGGATTATCCTTAAGGCAAACTAGGCATGTGCCTAGGGGCGCGAGGTCACAAAGGGGCGCGTGGGTGGAATTGTAAAATAAAGAAAAAATATAATATAGCATAAAATTAATTGGGCCATTACTGGCCTTTCTTACGAAAGCCACCTACTTACACAATAAAAACTATTATTTTTGCTTACAACCTTAATTTGCTTCAATATATAGCAAAAGATAAATTTAACGGGCCACAACCACAAACCGCCGCCACCGGCATATTTCCTGTAGTTTTCTTACATTTTATATGGACTCGCCACGAAGCGTGTGGCGGCCACTGGCGTTAACCGTGTGCGGCGAGTCCATATAAAATGTACGAAAACTACAGGAAATATAAGCTGGAAAGATACGACTGCAATGTTCGTCGCACCGGCCGGATCGGTTTCGGTCAAACAACGTATAGTACTTACGACTTAATTTTAATATAGGGGCGCCGATGAGAAGCTTGCCTCCGGCGCTCTCACCGTTTAATCCGCCACTGCAGGGCCACCAGACGTTCACGTATTTTCTGACGAAGAAAATGTGGACGATTGAGTAGGTAGTATTATTATGTACCTACTAAGAACGCATGCCTGCCTGCTAGCTCGTTTGGACGGCCAATTTTCAGGTATCAGGGTACATAAAAACATTACTTACCTCACGTGAATTCTCCAAGCTGATTTTTATATATATTTTAGGCAATATCTTTAAAAATAAGTCGCCAATACTCCCAGACACTTTCCGTCGGCCGTATTGCTTTGCAGGTGCTTGAAAGCTCCCAAAATAATTACTTAACTTCACGTAAATTCTGATGCTCCATTTTTATAAATGTCCACCAGACAACTATTATTATTAAGACAGTTATTATTATTATTTTATTTATTATAACTATTTCAAAACTTTTGAGAAAAAGTCAGACCGATCCAAGGGGCCAATCATCCCCTAAATTCAATTTTAATGCCTCTGTGTGTTCATTACGCACTATTACAAAAGCAAAGCAATACGGCCGACGGAAAGTGTCTTGGAGTGTTGACGACTTATTTTTAAGGATATTGCCTAAAATATACAGAAAAATCAGCTTGGAGAATTTACGTGAGGTAAGTAATGTTTTTATGTACCCTGATTACCTGACACCTGAAAATTGGCCGTCTAAATAAGCTAGCAGGTAGGCATGTGTTCTTAGTACATACTAACATTACTCAATCGTCCACATTTCGTTCGTCAGAAAATACGTGACGTCTGGTGGCTCTGGGATCTTACTCTATTAGACACTATAAAAATTGCTAATCGCAGGAACCTATTTATGCTTGAATCTCATAGTTATACGCGGTTTTGATTTTGTATCAATAACAATAAAATAATTCTCACTTATGTTTGTCTGAGTACGGTAGGACTATAGGAAAATAATAGACCTACTGTCTCAAAGCAATATTAATAACAAACAAGTGTATAAAAAGTCATTGCAAACGATGAAAAAACTTATCACTATAAATGTAGGTAACAAAATCATTTATAACTTTTATAATTCAAATGAATAAAAAAATACCATTTCAGTCATAAGTACCTGTCGATAAAAAGAAACTGAAAACTGATAATAATGTAGGTAAGATAACGGTACACATATTAATGTATACCTACCTAAGTTGAAACAGGATAACTCACCACAACTATATATTATTAAAAGCTATGAAGTAGGATAAAAAAAAGTTTTAATTCGTCACATAAATAAATATTCCAACCAGGATTCGTACCCAGGACTTTAGGAATAGATGGCTGAGGCGCTGCCGTTGCTCTAACCAGAGGGTTAAAAATAAAGAACATTATTTTTATAGATAATTAAGATCACTTAACTAACGGTAAAATACAAAAGCTTCGTACTCAAAAGCTTTTATGTAGAGCAAATATTATTGTAAGAAGTCCGAAAGCTAGTTCGAAACTATACTAAGTTTTCATTTTTCTTCAAAATATTTTCATTTGAAGGGGAAGAGGGTACTCTCGGTCATAAAATAAAGATTTGAGTTTTTATTCCACTCACGAATGAAATGCAAACATATTAATTTTGTAAATTTTTTTTTAACCATTCGTTATAGAGTATGATCCCAATGCCGCCAGATTTTATTTATTTTCTGAGGGATAAATTATAGATACCTAATCACTTGGTGTTGGTGTGAACAATGAACGTATACGTATACATCGAAATCGAATAGTTTGCGGGTACGAAATATCAACGAAATATCATTGTAAAACGTGTACTGATTTTTAGTTCTCGTTACGTCTATTATGGCGCTGCCGTTCAAGTTTCCATACAAAATTTGGCAGTGACATTTCACACTCGCAAACTATTCGAATTCGATAGTGGTTCGTGTTAAGGGTACGGTGGCGCAAGAACGTAAAAATTCAACTCGCTTTACTTACACTCTGAGGACTAATTCTTCCGTATGCTATAGAGAACATTGTAAAGAATTTGAAATTAATACTGCCAGACACTCAGCAAAATTAATTGGACTGCGTTATGAAATATCGAATTAAGGGACTTATGATAATAAATACTTTGTATTTAAACCTTGTAATAAATATTTTGTATCAAAACCTTGAAGTTTTTGCTTTTGTTATATTGAATTAAACTTGTTGTGCAATTTATTTCACCGGAACCAAATCGCATAAAAGCATCAAACCACAGAATCGTCGCATAGTATGATGATGCATCGTAATATTTTCTTAACTTGTCTAAACTATACACACATCTATACCTTTAGTTTTAAAATAATACCTATGTACTCATAAAATAAAGTAAGCACAGCGACAATTTTAAATTTGAAATCATTGAAGCCTATTAACCCAGTTTACCATAAGTAGCACTTAATCTGTTATTACATAACGCAGACCAATATCCAAACACTGAATGTCGAGGGCAAAAATTGCTATTATATATTATTAATTATTATATTTTTTAAGCTGCCAGACCATTCGTAGGGGTATAAGCGTGTTTAAAGAACCACTGTGAGAAAAGGCGCGCCCATAGTTATTATGTGTTTTTTTAATACCGCTACATTAAAGTTACCTTGTAAATAATGTAAAGGAAACCTTAACAATATAATAATTGAATAATTTTATTTATCTTATCATCAAAATTATTGTAGAAAAAGGGTAAGGTTGTGTTTTTTGCTTTTGATATTTAAAGTACTAACTAGGAATAATAGTAGTCAGCGCAAGTTAGTTAGTATGAATAAACAAAAGATTTCCGTGATTTTCCATAAATCACTGCTTTTAGAAAGGGACGGTAAATGGACTTGTCAGTAAAAAGATAGGAAGGAATAGGTCAGTTTCTAAAATACTATTTTCAGATATTGAGAAACTTATTTGTATTTAAGAAACTATATTATAATAAATATACATATAATAATATTGGACTACATAAAGATCCAGACATTTGTTACAAATAGACCAAAATTTTCTTACAAACTATATGTACACAATGTATTTGGACTTTGGCACCTTAATTTCGATAATGATTGGCACGTTGCATTATTATTTACATTTTACATTGGCACGAAAATGAGCACATTACTGAGACCGTGAATTAGGCCTTATCTCATTGAGATAAAATTTCATAATTATTCAATCAAAACAATAATGTCGATTTCATGCTTGCATCCTACCATTCATACACCACATGTCGTGTACAGTACCTATGTGGTGCCAGTTGTACCTTTTATTAAATCGTAATAGCCGGACACTAATACCTACTGATCAATTTGATTGGTCAGTTTTTATTAACACATTTTGACCAAATTATCTTCACAACCATAGCCGTTTTTAATGTTGTCGGACAATGCAAGCTGTTGAATTCTGACATAGAAGGAACTTTGAATCACCGTGGTCTTTCTCTCTCGTTTAAGTGTTCATAACGGTAGTTCTTCGCGTATAACCACGCCTGGTTGCACCCCCAGACCCTTGGGCCTCGCACTCCCTTCGCACTCTATCGATTATATCTGCAACCAGTTTTTCTTCACGTGATCGCTTCTCCTGCCAGTCAGTCTTGCTTGATTGGTCTGATCCTTGGGTTTCTACACAAAGGACAATACAATTCATAACATCAATTAACACGAATTTTGTTTAGATACTAGATTATGATTTCTTATACCTAATTATTGACACATAGGATATTTTGCATCCCGAAAAAACATTAAGTTCCTGCTGAATTCCCAAAAAAACTAAAGTTAACGCGGACGAAGTAACGGGTAACAAATTGCTAATGTAAGTTATTAATATTAAAAATAAGAAAGGAACAAACTGATTGAGCCCTGGGGAACGTCCACCTTAACCGACGAACACGGCAATATGTTGCCAAGTATTTCAACCCTATTCCTCAAGTATTATGTAATAAGATCCGGATTGGTATCTCTAAATCCATAGTGTAGGAGTAACCTGAGTATTATTATTAATAATATTTCATGAATAACGCAATCAAGAGCCTTAGAAAAGTCGCAATACACACCTAGAGCGCTATGCGAGTTCTCCTAGGCATCAAAATTATTGTTTAAGCACAACGCCGATATCGGTTGTTGAGCGACCCCTTGAGAAATCAACGGTGAATTATATGTTTATAACCAGTTGATTAACTGGCATAATAAAAATACTTATGGCAGAGCAATGGGTCTAAAGTTTGTGGGGTCGAACGTGATTACCGATTCTCGAATTATGCAATAGAGTTATTTTACTGTTTTTCATGAGATTAGGAAAACACCACAGCCAAAATTCAGTACAAATTCTAAACCAAGACGTAACGTTCTTTGTTCGATTAAACTTTACTAATGCAAAAACTAGTGTTGGGGTAGGCAGTGTTTCTATATGCGAGCAAGGTCTTAGGGATGGTATTATTAAAAAAATGAATACCTACCTCGATTGCTGCCTCGACACGTCTTCTTTACTTCCCCACTTTTTGTCTGTTTAACAACTGTTGTTTGGTAGTTAGGCACGCTTGTTTTCGGTATAGACATTTCGGGATCCGGTTCTTCTTTCACTTCGTGGAGCGGCTGTTGAGTGACCCGTTCTTTTGCAAGAGCTTCTGCTTGTGAATTCGTCAGCACTGGACTGGAATCCGATAAAGTTTCGCTATGACGACTGGCCAAGTGCCCTATGTATCCTGGAGAAGTAAAAAAAGGTGTTATTCTACTTTTTTCTAAATTGTAAATAAGTTCATTTACATAAGTTGATTAGGAAAAGTTCTACTAAAAATAATGGGTATGACTATCTACCTCATCATTATGTTTGAAAAGTAGATGTTTCCAACGTATCACAGATTCAGTTTGGTTTCAAAACAGTTTTGTTTAAAAGTAAGCTATAGTTAGTTGTGCGTAATATCTATAGAAATTGACAAAGCATCAATATATACAACCATAGGTAATAATATTATCATGTTGCTGCAAGTAACAGACTTTTACTTGCTCTACCCCAAACACTAACAACTAGTGGGAAACGGAAAACTATTCGTATTCTATAGTAACTATAGGCAGCGCCCCTACACTTCGTTAGAACGAACTAGCTCTTTCTATAGACTATATCGGATTAGCATTACAACTTTCGATTGCTATATTTTTCAGATTTTTTTTTCCAAACTAGACTTTGAAGATGGGAGAAGTTAAGCTATTAGCGGACAAATACCATCAACTAAATAAAAATAAAAACAGATCGACTAACCTTTTCTGCTCTTAAAGTATACAAGACACTGTTCACACTGAAACAGCGGGGCAGGGTTGAGTGGATGTATAACATGGAGTTTGTATTTATGGCGATACCAATGTGTTCTACTCTGCAGGATCTCCCCACACAGCTTGCACACGACACTTCCATCGTTCCTCATGAAATATTCCAATAAGTCGTTTCTAGCTTTGGGTGTTTCTTTGGCATCCGGATCTTTGTTTTCTTGTTCAAGCTTAGGCATCACATCCTCGGTCTTTTCTGTCAAAAAGTGCACACCGGGCGTACTGTCCTGTGTTGCATTATCTACAGTGCTGGTATCATCAGTCAAATTGTTATTTATAGTTTGAATGTAATGTTCAGCATTCGAGGAATCTGAGAGGACTTCCAATGTTATAACGGGCATGCTACCGTCGCCGTCGTCTTCGTATATGTAGTGAAAGTCTGGAATTTATCATATTGCTTCAATTAAAATGTCAACATTAGCTAATGTGATGTCGTCCAGCAATAGCAAATAATAGCTTAATAAGGGTCATCATTTATCATTGTAAATTTTTAGTGTAGTAAGGAAGGTAAAGTCTAATGTGACCATAGACCCTGAAAATTCTTAAAAAATATTTTAAATTATAGCTGAAAGTTAAAGTAACAATAAAAAAGTGAGTTTAGTTTTATATGGCGCTGAGAAAGTAAGCATCTAATGATCGAGCTAACTCATTTCACCTTCAGCACTGAAAGATCCAGGCTTTGACCACGAATTGACCACACAATGAAGTGAGTGAGCGAAATAGCTTTAGCTACTTGACGGTAAAGAAATAGAAAATGTATTCTTGTCACAGCTTGTTCGTTCTGATAGTCAAATATTGTCATCTGCTGGTTGCGTTCGAACGATTCCGTTTTCCGAAAAGAAAACGATTCCGTTTTCAGGGTTCCGTAGTCATGATAAGGAACCGTTATAGTTTTGTCATGTCCGTCCGAGTTTTTGCTTGAAGACTGTTGCCACTAGGGAGCTGTAATTTTGTGGAGGTGTGTATAACAATCACGCCGATAAAGTGGTAGAATTGTCTATTGGTTGTCTATTACCACATTTATAACTGTAATGGGTTTTCAGTCACAGTTGAGGTGCAGAAAGCTAAAGTATGTGTCAGGATTAAATCAAATAAACAGTTATTTTTTCTTTTTTATTTGGATTATTATTTGTAGTGTACATACATATATCCACATTCATTAATCGTATTTTAGATGGTAAGATCTCTTTTTGTGTACAATAATAACTAAAAAAAAACAATATTTTTAGTCGCAATAAAAATAAACTTCCGCCTCTTACACATCAATTTATTGTTAAAGCTTTGATGTTTTTAACGATATTTATTATACATGTTTAAGTTATTCTTTTTCAGTTAAACTGTGGTAGTTATTTTGTTAATAATTGTTATCGTTAAGTCTAGATACAATATCTAACGGTCTTAAAATATAGAAAGTAATTATTAAGAAAAGAAACTATATAAATGATTAATGATCAATATGGCCCTCGCGTTAAAAATATTCTCACGAACGGCCGATAAATCATATTATGCAGTCAAGATCTAAATGAACAGTAGATACATGATTAATTTTAGGAATTGATATAATCTTAGATTATATCAAATATGAAAATAAAAAAAAACATTTAAAAAATGTTTGGTGGTGTCGAGTGGTGTTGAATTGATTAAAAAAACTGTATACTTATTAATAAGTAATATGGACATACAAAGGTGCACATAATATATGTATATATATTTATTTGCTTTTATAAATCAGGTAAACTATTAAATAAAACAACACTTTAATTAAAAAATTGCACTTCAAAATAATAGTATTTTAATATTTTTAAAAAGCTATAGGTTGTATAAGTGTATTTTAAATCTAGCGATAGTTTTTGCTGAAAAAAAAAGGAATAAAAATGTAAATATAAAAACTGTTCAGTAATCGTAATAAGAAAATCTTTACTTAAACTTAATATTTATTATAATAAACTCAAGGCGTCTACACACGATGAACTAAAATACTTCTTCTAACTCACCCGTTCTCCGTTTCAAGTTTAGAAAACATTATATAGAAATTAAAGAAATATACATCCATAGTATACCTATACTGTTTGTGAATTGTAGGTGTACTTGTGTTATATAAAAATGTAAGTTATAGACTAAAATATGAAAAACAAAACATCCAAGCTATCGTTTAAAATTAAATTATTACACATGGTGTATTAAGGTACTTTATAAGTGCAATTTGTAGTGAGTACCTACTTATTCCTTTAGTTTTAAGAACATATATTAAGTTATAGATTTAAGGATTCCTATTTTTCCTCGTAAATTGAGATATATTAATGCGATATGCATTTTCATCTGCCTTGTAATATTTTTTTTAATACAAACGATGCGTCGGTTACCCAAAGAACACATAATATATATTTGTCAAAGATGGGTAAAAATTGAACAGGAAAATATAATAACAAAGAACGTCATATTTCTAATCTTCGAAATATCTAGATATTATAAGTATTTTGTGTGTATAATACTTAACACGATACATAATATACTATGTACCTTATTATTAAACATTATTCTGCCTTGCAGCGTATGTTTAGAAAGAAGAAGTAAGAATTATAATAACTCAACAATGAACATGGTTGCTAACTTAGTTAGCACTAATATCACAAAATAAAATACCACAAAAAAAAATATAAGAAAAAAGGAAAAAAAACATCAGCATAACACTTCACCACTCAACGAAACTATAACGTTGTCTCTTTTACACCATATCGTAGAGATGTGAGTAAACAATTACATAGAAAGAAAAAAACAAATTGAGAAATTATTCCGCGATAATATATTTGTTTGTGCGGTCGACTGGCTCTGTTAAACATACCTAACTTCTTAAATAAGATCACACTGCGAATGTTAATACCTTCTTGGTGACTAATTAAAACTAAAACGATTCAAGTGATACACCGTATTAATAAAATATATATTATCTACAAGAATGTGATCTACGACGAAATCTATATCAACTTATCAATAAACTATGAACCGTTGTGCGCTAATTTTTAAAATACAGAAACTCAATTTAACCAATAATATTTTAAGTAGACACATAACTACCTATAAACTATATATAATGCTCTCGTACTAAATCTTACTGTTCCAAGCGAACTTAATATAAAAAATATGTTGATTAGTAATATACTTTCAAACATGAACTTAAGTAATAGTGTGAACATTAATCATATGTAACATTATCTAACAAATATTATTCCCTTATCAATGGAAGAACTGCTGATTTTGTTTTTTGTCCTAGATTATACTAGAACACTTTCATATCAACTAAATATATCCTAAAGTGAAATAATAAGAGTTGGAGATGTTATTAATATTACATTTTACTATTTATAAAATTGTGCTATGGCACTGTTAAGTTTTATGATAAAATATATATTGATGACATATCAATAACTATACGCTAAATATATTGTAATATATGATTACATAGGTACAATTTTTAACAGCAGGCTCACTAACATTTCAATTAAGAGTAAAGTACCTATTCTATGTAAAATTCAATCAGTTTATATAATATGCAAAGTTCCAACTCTTTATATTCAAAATATAAGGTATAATTTGTTTAAACCGCGCAATAACTTTGGAAAACATTAGTGCTATCAAATTGTATTCTAAATTTAAAAGATTGCGAAGAAAACATGATAAAGTGTAACAGTCTTTGGTTGTTGTCTTGCGGTAAATCTGTAACTATTTAAATAAATTGCTAATTAAATCCCGAAGCAATGGAACTGGACTGCCTCAAAGTAAAGATGTGAACGTAATTTTTAAAACTGTATGTATCTAAATGGAAGGCACATCTCAGACTTGAACAGCACCCGTTTAAATCTAATAATTCAATATAGTTATTTAAAAATTTAATACGCCCTATTATTGCGCAACTGGCCTCGATGATATAAATGTATATTTATTGTCTATTATCTGCACAACCATACTTTTATATATCAATAATGAGCTCTAATTGTATGTAACAAACGTTAGATATTAAATGCATAACAGTATCATTGGAAATATATAGATATGTACAGTATAAAGTGTACATGAAAATTTTTCTCCAAAAATAGAACAAAATACTACTATGAAATCCGTTTCATAACACTAACAATGAATGCTATACTTTAACTTTAGACGTTATTAAAGGCACTAGAACATAATAGTTTGTTTGGAATTAGTAATACTATAAACCGTATTTGTCACTTGGTGTCAGTCAAACTTGGGTGGGGTCAGGAGAGGAGTGGGACGGTGTGGAGCCCCGAGGGGAGCCAGATTCCATCTTCAGCCCTGACGGTAGCTGTGCCTCCATCCCCGGTAACATAAAAAAAGCGTTCGGCGTATAAACACAATCTTTTGGCACGTAACAATCGTGGGTTGTCTTCATGTGATTTTTCATTTTGTCGGGCCTAGAGAACTCCTTGCAGCACACGGGACACGGGAAAACCTTTCTCTGCTGTCCCTCGTGATAGAGGAATGCGTGCCTCTGGAATGAATACTTGTTTTTAAACGTTTTTTGTATGTTCTCCTTCGCGCATTCTGTACATTGGTAGACCCCTTCGTTGACCGACGCGTATCTAAAGAGATTTAGACCTCTCACTGACATTTCAGTCAATTGTTCAGCTGGGTCGTTAGAGGCCGAGTTAGCCCGTCTTCTTATTCTTCTTCTGACTACTGGCCTTTGCATTTGATTTCCACCGGCTTGTAAAGTGTTATTGTTTATCGAGTCATTTTGGTATTCATTAGAAGTTGAGGCTTGAGTTGCCGGATTAATACGAATTTTCCCGTGACCATCATGTGAAGGTGATTGTGCATATTTTATGTCTTTCATTTCAGAGTCCGGTGAACCACGTCCTGTAATAAAATAGATAAAGAAATAAGTACAGCGAGTGTAAATTCTAAATGTTTAATCTACAGACGAATTACTACAAGGTTGATGAATCTAAATGTACCTACTGCATGGGATAAAAGCATATAGTCATGAATGAGTATCAATTACAAGAAAAAAAAACAACGAAAAGGGTGAAAATAAAAACAAACAAAGAAAATATATTAACCTTTATTTGTTCAAATCGAATGACGAATTGATTACACCATGATTAAAGAACGTTGATGATGATCATACTACATGGATGATTTATTTTGCTTTGTTAGATTGATAGAACACTTATTTAGTAGGTAATGTATTGGTAGCTTCCGTACCACCTTTTACAATCATTGCTGAATACTCCTCATCCATGTAGTTTGTCCAAACTTAAAAAATAAATTCTAAAAACAAAAGGAATAATTTTAAACAACAGAAAAGTTTTGAAAACAAAAAATGTAAATGAATATAGTAAAATTACAACACCTTCGTCTATAGTGTTATGTTGGTTGTTGAGATTTGAACAATTAACTGTAGCAAAGTTAAACTGCTTAATGAAAACTATTTATCCTAATTCTTACAATTTATCAATTAAATAAATTAAAAAATAATTTAACAAAAAAGAACAGATTTCACTATGATTTAATAGGACTCAAGTATTTGCATTTGGAACTGTTACGGCAAGTTCAGTAGTTAGGTACATACACGATAAAAAAAATAACACTTCAGTTAACTTAGCTCTTTAGATCACAAAAGGTGGGTTTTGTAGTAATCGATAGTTAAATAAACTGTGAAGGTTGCATAAGAACTTAGCTGCCATTCCGAAAATAAGAAACGAAAATTAAAATTCAGACAATCTGAACGTAGTTAAATAATAAAAGTTGTATATGAATAAAATAATTAGCCTCGTCTAACAGTTAACATTTGGATACTTATTGCATTAATTTCTTTATTATTTTTTTGTAAAAAATAAAATATAAAAAGCGACAATTTGTACTGGATCAACAATACTTTGTTCATTGCATAGCATAAATTTGAGCAACGTTGAAAGCATAATAACCAAATGTACACACTAGCCACACCATCTACTAGACATGACAGTAGTAAAGGAAAACATACCTGATCAGTCCTCTCTTCCTGACTACATAAAGTTCTAGTTTAGAAATTCACTCAATTGTTAACAACACTATTTAAGTCTATTAATTATAAATAACTTAACTTTTATACTATTCTTTACTAATAACCCGTGTTGTTACTTTGCTACAATTATAAATTAATATTCATTTCATATTATTTTTATTGATATTATAAATGAAAAATTAACGACCGTCGTTGCAACATTATCACCATTGACAATTAAAATATTTGTCGTGAGACTGATGATTAGATTTTTATTAAACGTGTCGACAATATTTGCTGGCAAGTTACAGTTTCAATAAATTTAACTATAATTATTTTATATACTCAATTTAGAGAGTGAGAAATACTATAAGCTATTAAGTAAAACAGAAGAATCACAATATAAAAAAATACACTAACAAAAAATTATTGGGTTTTAAATTAATATAACAAAACATAAAATATAATTCATAATAAATATAATGATTGAAAATTTTTTGCTATTTTGTTGTAACTTTTATTTTCTTTAAAGATTCTAAAAATAGTAATTAACACCTTAATGTATACCAATGTATCTTTCAACAAATAGGTAATTCTATAATGTGTAACTGTCAATCCTAAATATTCTAAACATTACTCTTTGCATTTCTCTATTGTCTAAGTGCAAATAACAAAAAAAATGATTTATTTAAAACATTTGGCTAGATACTATTTTATCGTACTTTGTGTGAATTCAATCCATACTTATTACTGTTTAAACATTATCTATCTGTTAGTAGGTATACAAGAAACACCCTACGAGAGCTGATAATATTTCAGAGAATTCCTCAAAATCCCTTTATAAAAATCTATAATCTTCAATAACTTTCTTTTACACAGAACAAGATCACAGCTTATAAGATGGTACATGAAGTACCGTATAGCTATATTTTTTTGGTTTTTATTTGCACAGTAAAATAGCTGCCACAATTAAACTACCAGTTTAATGTATTTATTCTATTATAATACTCCTTTCGCAAATAACCCCTATGTGTGACATTTGTCTAATAAATCATCTAATATATATGTAAATGCTCTTTGACTAAGATGAAATATATTTAAAGCTCTTAAAGAAACATCTTCTGAAATTATATCTATTTTAATTAATAAAACTTGCAATTTTATATCTACTGAGAAAATATATTTTAGGGCAAAAGCTTATTAATAGGGGTTACCGACACCTTTTTTTTGTTGACGTAAATATTTTAATGTATTTTCTATAACCAAAAACACATGTTAAATACATTGTATAAGATTTGCCTCAACTAAGATGCTCCCTGACTATATTTTTAAATCATAATTAGAAAAGGATTTTGTCAAGAAATTCACTGAACCTATTGAAATGTATTATTTGTACCTAAACAATTGTCAGAATGAGTAATTTCTTAATATATTAAAAATAAATATTTTTATTATATTATCTCCACTGTTTGATTATACAAAACAATATTTTCGTGTTTTATTTTTCATAAAAAATCTACATGTACATTTATTTATTCTGATTATTGCTTTAACTGTATAACTTAGATTCATGTACGTAAATGACGATGTTGATGAATAACTAAAATCATTTTTATTAAAAGCTTTCCAATTTGCTTTGAACGAAGTCTCATAATATTTTATTTATAAACTAATATTTTTATCTGTGATAAAACAGGATATCTTAAATATAAATATGTATTTTACAACATAACAATATTAACAAACAATATGTATAATTAGAGGGACAATCCTTAGTCACATTAGATGTGACATTCCCTTAAGTATAATTTAGCACCAATAGATGATATAACATTTAATAAATAATATTATATTGATGAATAATAAATATAAAACGATTGATAAAACAATAAAATTGCTTTTCAAATTCAAGATGTTTTCAAAATAAACAGTCGGTACCTAGTTCCACTAAAAGTTTAGATAAGTAGAAGAAATTTTGAAGGTGATAGCTTAGGCACTGGCTAAATTGACTATAATGAGTAATTATATCCTTGAAACTTCCCATAATAGCCTCAAATATTAATTCTAAATTCATATTTTTTTAAGTACCTATCAATGTCCAAGATAAATTTCATATAAAGTTATGAAAGGTAGTAGGTACAATAAATTCGTTTTTTAATGAATTTACAGTCTTAATATTGATTTATCAAGACTCAATCGCCTCGAAACATTAAATCCCTTCCCATGATACATGTTTTAGTCATTTTCCAAATAAAATGGGAAACATGAGATGATATTCTTAGTTTAATAATAATTTTAATATTTTAACTACTTGGGCCTAAAAGGTTTCTTCTAGAGAAGCTTCTTAAAGTCGATGTAAACTCTGAATAATGAAAATAAATAAATACATAACATTCTTTGAAATTTCTTATTTTCCTAGTAGTAGTCGATAAATATTATAACTTATATTACAAGTAAAGGCACACTAGTAGGCAAGCGTTTCCTGGACCTACAATTCACCATAATGGAAAGATTGGGCATGAGGGTCATCAAACATAATTTTAAGTACAATCGTACTAAATATTTTCATATAATTAAATATTTTTCAATTGAAAGTAATAACATTTACATAGGAAATTAAGAAGAATAGTGTCACTATATTTATATGGAAGACTACATTTGCCTCTAAGTTTAACTAAATAATTTATAAGTACCATTTTCTTATCATAATATTTAAGGCATTTTGAGTTCTACTAAAATAGAATATACAAATCATCTCATGATTCCTGACAGTATAATCATTCATTTCAAAGCACCTTGCTAAGATCACTTTCACAACAACGCCGTGTTGTAATTACATTATATTTACATTTTAATAAATTTTAACATTTCGTTATGATTTATATAAATGTACATTACATACGTTTGTATACAAACATAGCTACCATCGAGAAATTCAACTAGGTAGGTATCGGTTCAAAATGTTGTATGAAACCCATGTAGGTGCATGCGTTAATAGCATTTATGAGTGTTTAATTCGAAATTTTCTTCTGTTTGTATTGTCTTTACTTATATATGCATTCATGTTTTTCTTCTTCCTTATAAATAAGTATGTATTTCTACAGCAATCTTACTGTACCGATGATGAAAAACTAAAAAGTTGCATTTGGGGCCATTTCATCTATACAAGATCTGAACATTTCAAACTATTCTATCATTTCGCTGTTAATATGAGATTTTTATTAGCTATCCTATATTTTGCTATTTATACTTTTCACTAATAATGCGTACCGAAGCGAGCATCATACTATTGTCACCTCTTGTAAATATAGTTTTGGAAATAATAATTTGGTCACCAATATTGTAGAAATAATCTGTCACTAATTATTATGTTACAATATTTTCTCGGGATACTGGTCCGTTTATACACGGTATCCGGTTCCTATATCCTTTTTTAAAGTAAAGAAAAACATTTACATCCAAATATTTCAACATTGATAAAATATTTTTAAATTAATCTTAACAAATAAATAATAGAAAAAATAATCATAGCCTGTGTTGAGTTTTACTTCGAAGAAGTTAATTATCATTTAATTTAATCTAAAATCACTAATAAGGCAAGTTAAATGAAAATGCATTTTTCTCCACTACACAACGGCTTTTGTAAATTTTTTTTTTTTTCATAAAGAGCCATTTTAGCCTCATTCGTTGACATTTTGAACAGTTAGAGATGCATACGTAATGCGTGTTCACTTTCATACAAATAGACTACGCCATTGTTACAATCGTTATTAACTACTAACCTAACTCTAATTTCTAGTTCAGTTCAATGAGAATTGTATGTTATATTTAGCGCATTAAAAGTAATCGAATAGACTACCTTTGATTCTATAATCACCATGAGTAGTTACTTTGTACCCTGAAATTTTGTAAGTAATAAAATTAAGTAACAAGTGCAAAATAACAAGTAAAAATCATAGATATTCTTTTTTAAATCTCTTTGAAATTCAGCACTCTGTGAAACAATGGAACAAACATAAATAAATAGTTACTTAAATATAACAACAAACGACATTGATTATCAACAAACTTACTGATATACCTACTCTTGAAACTTAGAGCTCGAAATTACTCAATCGTCATCTACTACATATTTATTATAACTCACTGTGTTCATTAAGTATTTAGTGTGTAAGATAAACCAAACCTACGAATTTCGATTATCAGATCTTTTTTTAAATTCACTTAGCTTTAGTAAGTTTAGACAATTAGGACTCCTGTTTGGCCATTTGTTCGCTGGCGTTAGGCTGATTTTTATGTATAATTTTCAAATGTGCTATCATGTTATCTTTCCTAGTAAACTCTTTGAAACATATGGGACAAGGAAACACTTTAACGTCTTTCTTGTGAGATGTTACATAGTGCCTACAAAAGTTACTAATGTGAGTGTAAACCCTTCCGCAAATCTTACATCTGAATACGTTTTCCCCTTCCTTGATACAAAAGTCCCTAACTGACTCATTATTCTCCTCGTGGTAGTTTCCAACACTACCTATATTATTTTTCCTGATTGGAGAGGGAAATATGCGTTGTTCCCAATTGGTTTGCCCTAAATCGGACATTTCGTTGTTGGCCAAGTTTAAGTTGTTCTGCTCGAGTTCAGCAGCGAACAGTTGAGTGGCGAGAGCTGGCATGAGAACAGTTTCAGGCGGAAACTTATCGAAAGTGTTGAGTGCGGGGTTCAAATTAGAAAGACCAGATAGCTGATTGAATAAGTTTCGAGCTCTAATTTTGGACATTTGGGGTAGCAATTTTTTACTATTCTTTGGTTTTAAGTTACGACCTAGTCTGCTCTTATCATCTGTATCTTTGATGGGACCATCCTGTGAATTAGAGTTTTCGCGACTTAGATCTGGTTTGTATTTATATTCGATAGGTTCGTTATAACCGTCCATAGTATCTGCTGAAGGTTCTTGTTTTATGGATCCATTTTCAATAGATAGAACTGGTCCATTACTAGGAAAGTTTTGGGGCGTTTCCTCTTTTGGTGGTTTATCAGGATCTGAAATAATAATTTCAGGCCTCAATTAACGAATTCTTTTATACATACTTTTAAATATGATCTTAACAGTCCATTGGAAATATTTTAGCCGTAGATAACGTGTTCTAAATTTAACAACGCTGCAACTTTATTTGCTCTTTGATCACTAGAATATTTCCAATTGCTTTTTTTTATCAAGGAAAGCTATTGGGAATAAGCCTTGTTTGTTTTCCCTTTTCATAATTATAAAGTATATCTTTGAAGGAAGCTTGAGTAGAAAGAAATGATCACTTAAACCATAAAGGACCACACCGGATCGCCCCTGGCCATTCCTCTAATAGCTCTCCCCATAAGCAGAAAAGCAAGCAATAGTTATTGTTTGTTTTATAGAAGAAACAAGCATCTGTTACTGTTTGAAAAATATCAAAATAATTTGATAGATTATCACTTACCCCTTACAATAAACTTTAAATATTATAAATAAAGTACGTAACCAGTATACACTTCACTTAATCACTTATCGTAACCTAACTTCAAAGCTTATATCCCATTAGCTTTTCCCTTACAATGAAATCTTTTTAAATTTACAGTTTTACTCTAAAACGTTGTTAGGTGATGGAAAGGAAGATTAATATATTTACAAAAGAAAAGCAAATATCAAACATTTTTATATCCGCATCCGCAATCTAAAACAGTTTATAAAAATATATGTTACAATGTTCGTCCGATTAGCTTCACTGACTACAGTATGTAGTTTGTCATTTCGATAAGATTTCTTATTAATTTAGAGAAGGTAGACTATTCGCTATGATTGGTTTATAATACGTACTTGATTAAATAGGAAAACGTACCTGCAGATTCAGAGTCTTTGCCAACCGGCGCTTCTGCGGACTGGGCGTCATCGCCCTCGTCAATCAACAGAGCTTCGCCAGTCTCTTCGCCGCCAGATGTCGCACCGTCTTCAGCGTTGAACCCATCCATGGACATTTTCACCTCTAACATTTCAGGAGAACCTCGTATCAGTTGGTCGCCAGCAGGTCGATTGGATGATGCAGATTCTGGTATAAATTCACCAGGCGGACTCGCTGCTGTGTTTAAAGCATCACTTGAACTCCCACTCAGTTTTCTAGGTCGACCCCTTTTCCGTTTCGGTTGCATTAAGGCGTTGCCCAATAAAGGCATTAATAAATTTGGGGGTGCTCCACCACTAGGCATACCTGATGCTGGCCGTTTCTGGTGCATATATGGATGTATTCTGTGTAATTGAGGAGGAGGCGTGTGTGCTGTCGCATTTGTCTGTTGTTGGATAAGTGAATTAGTGAGAGCTGGAATATCACATTTCTCCTCGTTAACTTCTGTGAGGCCTTTTATCCTCAAACTCTCTGCCACTTTCAAAAAGGCCGTTAACCTTTCTTGGTCTACGCTCACTTCCCCTCTATACATGAAGTCCAATAAACTCTTCATATCTGAATAGGGCACATCCTTCAATATTACGATTGGATGTTTCTCTTGGTGGTTTACAAACAACGCTTGAAAGTAAGGACTGCAAGCCGACAAAACCATTTTATGTGCTTTAAGCAACTGCCCATCCACGGCCAGTGTTACATCAGTGAATGTTTCTGCGTGTAATAGTTGATCAAACACAGACAACATATTGGATTGGTGGTTATTCCACCGCAAACAAAATCTTTGTGTCGCCATCTTGTCTCGTATTTTTCTTCTTTGGAAGATAATGATCTTTACCAGTCAGGGCTTAAAAACTAATTTACCAACAATTTCTCAATGTATACATAAGTATTCTCTCTTGTTCCATGAACAATACAACAAAACTTCAACAATAGATAATGTTTACTTTTTAATAGCCATTTTCAGTTTTCATAGTGTTAGTGCATTCTTTATGATGGCCGCGGGGAACCTGAAAACAAATGAAAATAAATTAAATGTTTAATAATTATAGTAAAACTTATACACTGAAAGTTAAGGTATCATATACAGACAATAACGATCAACGAGTTATTTATTCCAATTATCTCTTAAATATAACGAAATTACAGACGAGTTTTTAGTTAAAACAGAAAGTCTCTAAACAAATTAAAATAAACTGAATGTTTAATAATTATAGTAAAACTTATACACTGAAAGTTAAGGGATCCTATACAGACAATAACGATCAAAGTTATTTTTTCCAATTAATATACCGAAACTATACATGAGTTTTCAGTTAAAACAGAAAGTCTCGGAGTGCTGATTTCTCTACTTTCATGTGAGTCGGTATATGATTACAGCATTAGAGAGATACAACATCTGGTTGTAATTCTGTCACGCTATTATCCTCCGAGAGAATTCACGCGATATTGCCCGAGTGGAAGTTTCAAACAAAAAACACACGGGTGGAGAATCTACGTTTGGATATATAACAAACAAATTCATAAAGAATTTGAACAATTTTTGCTTGTATTGTATATCATCGTTCATAGGTAAAATGTAACGAACCCGAAGGACTCATAAAGTTATTAAACTTAATTGAGGCTTTTTCCGGTTTCACGGTTACAAAACTTATCATAGTCGGAAAAGGCTGAACCCGCTAAAATATCGAAGAGTTTATTATCATGTAATCTTAATACACACTTTGCATGAGCTAGTTAAGTTTTTACTGAATAAGTGGTTCGATCCTATATAGGCAATGGAATCAAAGTCGGCTGAAAATTGCATAAAAATGAAAACCATGAACTTCTTTGACTACATAGCAATAGTTTCAACTTTTTTTAATGTTTGTTGTGTGAAAAAATACTAAATCGGCGCTCATCAGTATCACTTTATTTAAAAATATAGGTACCAAGCATAGACCTAGATTGAAGTAGATGCCGCATTGACTTCAAATTGTATGGAAACCGAGCGTGAATGATTTTATGAAGCTGAAACTTGCAGACACATCCTGCAGCGGGACCATCACAAAACAGACTAAACATATTTCTGGCAACTGTTTTGGAATTTCTTATTTACTTAAAAGTAAAGGAAAGTGATCAAGTTCTTTTCAAAGGTGAGCTTAACGTTATTTTCGATTATACCTAAGGTGAAGTTCAAAATTGAGTAAAGAGATCTCTAATATATCTATATATTTTTTTCTTGTATAATGGTACGTTGTGACGACAAATATAAAACTATGACAATAAATAATTTTGTTCTATTATATATAATTTGGTCTACAGAAGAACGTGTATATGTAAAAACAAACCTATACAATAAACATAACTTCGAACCATGTAGTCCGATTTTTAAATAAATTTAGTGAGTTATTTTTTATTATTATTTGGATTTTATATAGTAGTGAAGTTTATGCAATAATATTTAGTAACAGCACATCAGAGGCATTTGAACCAATAAGGTCAGATTTTACTCAAGGTGATTTTTATACTAAAATTATTAAAGTATTGAACACAAGCCACATTTCGATTCAAAGTAGTAGCCATTTTAAAAACAGCCAAGTGCGAGCCGGAGCGTATTTTAGTCAAACCCACTTGCACCAAAGTTTTTAAATCAAATTGAAAAGCTAATCATTTGTTTAAAACTCATTCTATTACTATTTGATTTAAAAAAATATGGAATGTCGTGTCAGATTAAGATTTTGAGATTTATTTCAGTTACATTTTGATATTTAAATCTTTAATTCGATTTAAGAATTTTCATGCAATTAAGGGCCACCTAAAGGTTTCGTACAAACTAACACTACCTTATTCCAAAACGCGGATTAATGTTAGTCATGGTTTAATCCTAATGCTATCTCTATCTTCTTTTTAGGAAACAAGAGTGACAGCATGTTGTGCAGTTTTAAACCAGGTTTAACTTTAGTAAACGTTTTGTAATAATGTAAACAAGGTTTACTATTTGTAATAAAGCGTGAAAATTGTGAAAGCTCGAATAAATGCCCCTTTAACATCACCAATTTTGTACAGGCACCCACACCTTAAAATTCAATTAATTTAAATTATTATTTTAAACTATGTAAAAAACATATCTTAACCTAGGTGAAAGGAATTAACTCACATTCTATAAACTCGAATAATATTTAGAAATATTCACAAGATTGTTAGAGTACAGCGTTAGGTACCATCGTGTAAACAATTTGATTACTTTCCTTTACTTTTAAATAAATAAGAAAAACCAAAACGGTAGCCGGTAGAAATACATTTCAAAGGTAAATAATTAATTCGTCTTTTTTCACAAATTTCTTGCCGATACTTACTTAAGAAGAGCATTAGATACTACCCTCGTGGAAACACCTTGATTACTAGTCTTAACTTTAAAAAATAGAATGTAAAATCAAAGCAGTTACCAGGAATAAGTTTTGTGAGGGTCCCGATGCTGGACGTGTCTGCTACAACGTCTGCTGTTGTAGCAGACACGTCCAGCATCGCTGTAACTACAGCTTCATCTTTAAAAAGTACTCTGGGTTTTTTGAAGTCTGTTAGCGGTTAAGCGCAATGGTGTCAAAGGCATAATTGTAGTCAGAAAAGATGCATTAAAAGAACTTATATTGAGAATCATTTATTTAGAATCTTATTAATGATTATTTGCATTTTTTCAAAAAATAAATGAACATGACTAATAATGTCTATTATGGCGAATTATAATAAAACTTTATTGACAGAATACATGTTAAAATGTATGTTTAATGATTCTCTTATCCAAATAGGACAGTTTTATTATTATACTAGTTAGTGCTCGTAACTTTGTCTGCATGGTTGGATTGCTTTCCCATACAAACTACCACAGACCTTTCATCCCCTAAAGTATGAATTCTGATACAAAATTTATCCTTTATCCATCCCCGGGTCTGAAACTAATTTGAGACCAAATTTCATCTAACTAAACGATTCAGCGGTTTAAGCGTGAGGAGGCAACAGACATACGCACTGTCGCATTAATAATATAAGTATGTTGTATGGATGGATTATGTGTAGTAGATAGGTGGTGGTAGGAAATAGGTATTTTGGGCCATTCAAGAATTTGTTTTAATTAAAAGATTTATTTTATTAAAGTTAAAACTTCTTTAGCGGCGTTGTACACTTTTTTGTAATGGGTATTATATCGCGTCAGGACAAGTGACCTAATCGTAAATTCGTAAGACGGAAACAATAAAATCGGAAAGGTTTGACTTTCAATATATTGGACGAAACATAGTAATATTTTATTTTATCGTATTATAATAATAAGTCTATCGTATTATCTAGGAGGTCCAGGTGGCAGCTTTATTGCGAAGAAAATGCATTTTTTTTTACAATAGATGTCGCTAGGTGCGCTTAAATGTGATTCCTGTAAGTTGTTTTTTGAGAGATAAACTTTTTAATGTAATATAAATTGTCATGTTTGTGTACGATAGCGCAATAAATAAATATTGTATTCCAAAATATCAAAATTGCACAACTTTAATATTCAAGTTTACACTTATGCCGGCACTCCCGGAGTGCAACCCGTCTTTTGTACATATACGATATTATCATAGTGATATTAGTTAATTTACCTAACTATTTAATAGATAAAATAACAATAAATTAAAATTTAAAGCGGTACCTATTTCTTTGTGTAGGTATGCTCATGCTTTTGTGTATGTTTGTTTGTATTACTAAGTATACGTTGTTCCATCTATAGTTATATTTGTCTATAGTTAAAATTCAAGAGAAAAAATTAACAGTTGTCTAAATTTTACACATTTACTATTAGGTATTTGACGTGACATTAACTATAGTCAAATTTAACCACGGATGAAACAACGCGGCCTAAATAGTCATAGATCTTTGGAAAGTATGTATATAAAAAATAAGGTATCTAACTTGGGAAAATATATTATTGTAAAAGTCAGTCTGTCCATTAAAATTATAAACATCATCAATAATATAAATAAAAAATAATCAATACAATAATAATTATTAAATGAAAATACTGCCTCAATTCGAGTCAGACTTGCACATTCCGTTGCATCGTACCAGGCTTAACAATTGGCTTGTGAAAATCAATTAAGGTATAATAATATTACCGTATTATAGGAAGTTAAACATTTGAACAGGATAATTTGTGTGTGTTTTGTGGTATGCAGTCTGTCTGTGGTGACAGACCAATATATCAAATAACCAATATATAAATGTTAATAAGTTGTATATTTTTATTGCTTTGTTTATTTTAGAATCTATAATAAACAAATATTATCATATTTATATGGATCTAACATTAAAAACATACATACAGAACAAACATATTTCGAACACGAAAAAAAAAAACATTAAAAGCAATTTACATTTAATAAAGATAATAATTTTATATGCTTCAGGACCACTAGTTTGTAATAAGGATGCAATTCTGTAATTTTCCATGAATTCTGCTGCCTATAAATAAGAAACGATAACCCTTGTTCCGTTTTTAAAATGTAGCTGTATTATTTTGTAACTTACTTTTAATTTTAATTAAAAATAAAAAGCTAGTTTTATTGGACGTATCCAATACCTAATTTAATCAAGGTTGAAAAAAATGAGGGCGCCTCTAGCGACCGCGGGGAACAGATCTGTGTGCAGCGAGGACGGGCGCACTGCAGTGGGCAAAACATCGTACCTATCTAATGTAATCAATCACTACTCGAGTATCGGAACGAATCACGTTTACCAATATCGATGTGACAAACTAAAACATTATGTTTAAGGAAAATAAATTAAAAAAATCTCTGCACAATAACTAGGCTAAACTTCATCAAAAATCTAATAGGACTCCAATTAGAATCTCGGCATACATTCGAGTATTATACAAACACGACTCTGTCCACATCCACAGGTATCGACTCTGCTGACCACTAACGTTATCGCGGCACATAAACGAGCGCTCAAATTATTACTACGCACCCAGTCGAGCGCGTTACATTACGTCATCACAATGGCATTATTACCGACGATATCCACACAAATTCGGTTGATACGAAGAGATAAGCACGGTTGCAACGCAAAAATATCACTGCACTATTATAATGAAACATACCACACGTATCTGCACCACAATTAACTCGACCCTTTTATGGGAATGACGATCAGCCCTTCCGCCATAGTCTGAGTCCGCGTTTACGCCGCACCCCGCTCACCCGACGACTGACGGCCGAAGCCCGCAACCCCGCGCCACGAACGCCGACTCGCTCCGCGACTCGAATATCTCTCACAAAAAAATACGCCGTCATCATTGAAATGGCGGCAGCGGATATATTCAGCGCAGGGTGCACGGTAAAATATTGATTTATTGAAATTTATTGATTCCATCCCGACGCGGAAGATTTCGCCCTCCCACTGTTCGCGGTCAAATTCAAACTATTTTCATGCCGGATTTTCATGAAGAGGGTGGGGACAACTATTTCATTCTAAATGGTACTCATCCCTTTTAAAAATGTCCAGTCCGGGATGTCAGTATTCTATATTTAGCCACTTTTAGATAAGGGTGAGACCGGTACCTAACTATGTTATGATGACCATGATAGACGTAACGAATGTCTATTTTAATCCGCCAATCGTAACCTATGATGGCTTCCGCCTAATATCCTTGTAGATCTCAGAGATATTTAATTAAAAACGTGGTTATTATTTCGCACTCTATGACTTACTGTTACGGTAATATTTAGAGTGAAGATAAACTCACACCAACCCTTAGCGGGATTGTGTTCATTTAATTTGTCATTACTGTATTTAGAAAGACATACCTTGGCATAAACGTGAAAAGGGATGAGGTGAGTTTTCCACGTGAAAAACATCAACCCATTCGTGTTGTCGCCATGTCAGCAGCTTGCTCTGTCTCTGTTGCTCACGGGCGGGGTTGGAAGGACGCCCTCCTCGCGGCGACTGCCGCCGGAGACGACCGAGCGTCGCCACTTTTCGCAACCGAATCCACCCGAGTCCACACGGAAAATAGAACGCGGGGCGCACTTGTATTTTTAAGTTTTAAAAAAATGTACACTTCTTTTTTTAAGCACTCTAATATTTATATTGCCGGTTTTACAAGATATTTATTTTCCGAACAACAATCGTACACTTGCTTAAAAACTTTATTTTGGTAAGGAGAAGTTAAGTAGTTCAGGATACAAACTAAAAATTCCGCGCGCGGTGTTACTCGGAAGTATTTTTAATAAAAATGGCCTGCTGCCTCGACGGGAGGAGTGGCAATGGGCAATGAGGTCGGTACCCTCTCTCTGGCACCCGCGCGCGCCCCTCCCTGCCTCGCGCGGCACAGGGTTAGAAAGTTTCAAAAGTGAATCGTGGAAAACGGAACAAGCAACGTCCTGGGTCTCAAACTATGATTTTAGAATTGGGACTCCTAAGTTAACGTATCCCTCAAAAATATAAATCCCGTATGACTAATACTGAGTTAATCGCACGGGGTTGTCGTGATTTGGAAAAACCCAATCATGTCAAAGGATTTTTATTCAGAACATCGGTGATTCATGCGTACTCTATGACATTTCACGTACGTGTTTTGATGTTATTTAGCTGCTTAGGTCATAGCAATTGAATGAACCCTTAACCAAAATGATAAACACTAACATAAAAATACTGAAATCCTTCCTCTTGTGCAAATAAAAGAATACATAATTAGTAAAATTATGTTGGTTGTGTACATAAAAATTAATTTGACTTAAGTAATATGACGTATCATTAGACTTTGAATATTTCAACTCACCAAAAGTCATTAATAAAACATTTCATTAGGGTACATATCTATTCTTAATCACATTTTAACAGCCAGAGAATTCTTTGGAATTAATAAATATTTACTGACGTCCGCCTTCAACTTCCACCAGGTGAATATGTAAATTCCGAATATTCAGAACCTTTAACCCATATATCCTTTATATTTCCTATTCCGTTTTCTATATGTTTGTCATATCTAGACTAAAAAATATCGTCTAAATACTTACTCATCTAAATGATTTTAACTATTGCGTAACATACAGGATAGTTTAACATTTACAATACTTATTAGCAGAATTACACGCAACGACACCTCTTATGAAATTGGTATTTCCAAATGAGAGTTTTTCAAAAATGCCATTAATGATCTTATGTTATGACGTAAACCACTAAATTTGTATTGTCACTTTAATTTATCTAGTGTAAAACCTAAGCAAACGTTGCAATCGGGAGACTTAAAGAATTGGACGGAAAATAGATACCTATATTTTCTAACTTTTACTATTATGAATTTTTTTTAGGTACCTAACTGTTGTAGTGCCATTTTTTATTTAATCTATTTATACTCAATTTTCTGTAAAGTTCACAGAGTAAGATGATTCTTCTATCCGTGTCTTCTCTCCATATTCACCTGCGTGCGATACGATCTAAATCATAGTGACTATTCAATGGTTGTCTAAGGATAAATCAGACTCATACTATAACAAAAAAGTATCTGTATAGCCGCATAAAATTTTATGTTATAATAATGGGGAATCATATTGGATTTGATTCTTAACCATGACAAAAAAGGAATCTGTCTTACTCTACTTATACCCATAGCCAATACGGACGTCACATCTTGGTACTTGGTATTTTTACTAAGAAGTGACTTCACGAGCCGAGCCCCCACTCCCAAACATTGACGAGCTTTATTTTTAATTTTATGGTTGATTGACAAAAAAGTAAGTGTCCTTTATTTTTTTTAACTAACTAACGACTAAATATAGTTTCGTTTAATTTACTCCACTTACTTACTTAAGAAAAATGGATATAATAGGAATGTGTTGTGTTGAGAAAACTTTCTTAAAGGTAGTTTTCTTAAAGCATGTGCATTGACATAAAACTGAAGAACTAATAAATCTCTAGAGACAAAAGACAAAAGCAAAAACATTTGAAAAAGCGAAAAAATATCAAGTATGAAAACAGCTAATAATTTCCAAAAAAAACATTTCACTCAGACTTTACACTGATATCAAGAACATCATGCAATTTGTATATAAACGCACTGTACGATGTATTATTGCTTTTGAACTCTACTCGTAGGTCTAGTTCCCTAACTAATTTACTAAAAGAAACTTCTTAACTTAATTTTAGATCCACCTAATTAACATGTCTTACAATTTCAAAGTGTTTTTTTTCTTTCACTACACCATTCCACAAGCTTCTTTTAATATAGCAATTTTGGGTAGTGTTTTTCTATTTCATAAATCCTGTGTCTATACATTTGACTTGTAATGACTATTTGTGCCAACATAAATTAAAAAATTAAGAAAAAAATGTGTATTCGATGTTGTCATAATCTACCGGAGATTGTTTTTTTTTTATATAATAATCGCTACAAATTACCCCACCCCTCCTGATATTTAGTGTAAGTGGAGGAAGAGTGGGGGAGGACGACGACGAACTACGACGACGACGCGTTCAACCCCTATTTTACCCCTTTAGCATATGAGCAATTTCTCAAAATCATGGTTATCCAATAAATATATCTTCTGTCTAAATTACGTAGCTTGCGTAGTTTTTTCAGCAGATAATGTCTTTTTGGAAGTGTATATTTTCATTAAAAAGAAACTGTTTTTCAATTAACCAAGCATCAAAGCTTTTAAAAGTAGGTAGGTAATTAAATAAAAGCGTTGTCCGTATTGGCTATGGGTATAAGTAGAGTAAGACAGATTCCTTTTTTGTCATGGTTAAGAATCAAATCCAATATGATTCCCCATTATTATAACATAAAATTTTATGCGGCTATACAGATACTTTTTTGTTATAGTATGAGTCTGATTTATCCTTAGATAACCATTGAATAGTCACTATGATTTAGATCGTATCGCACGCAGGTGAATATGGAGAGAAGACACGGATAGAAGAATCATCTTACTCTGTGAACTTTACAGAAAATTGAGTATAAATAGATTAAATAAAAAATGGCACTACAACAGTAAGGTACCTAAAAAAAATTCATAATAGTAAAAGTTAGAAAATATAGGTATCTATTTTCCGTCCAATTCTTTAAGTCTCCCGATTGCAACGTTTGCTTAGGTTTTACACTAGATAAATTAAAGTGACAATACAAATTTAGTGGTTTACGTCATAACATACGATCAGAAAAAATACGTGTTCAAAACTTTTTGATAATCTAAGAAGAGAAAAAACAAAGTGCTGCCATAAAAAAAAAACTACAGGTTATATTTTTTTATTATATATTTTCAAAGAAGTCTCCATTGGCGTCAAAATCATTTCTAGATAACCAATTTTCATAAAACATTTTCTAGTTCGTATCAGGGGGCCATTCGCCTAACGGAAATGCTTTGGAAAAAGCTAACGCTTACGTTTTCATTTTGTTATTTCTAGCCGCTTGAGGTTTTCAAATGCCTCGCGCTCTTTGTTTTTCTTTTGCATTGGTAATAACAATATAAAAAAAAATGAGCGTGAGGTATTTGAAAACCTTCGGCGGTCAGAAATAACAAAATGAAATCGAAAGCGTTAGCGTTTACCACAGCATTTCCGTTAGGCGAATGGCACCCAGGCACCTTTCAATCGTTCCTTAAATGCAGCTAGCACGTTATCCGGACATGATAATATAGTACACTCCACAGTACACTGTTTACCAAGAGGAGAAAGCGACCGTCTACCCTCGAGTATGTAGTTTTATTTAATTAATACACTCGAGTTGGGAATAGCACTTTCTTTCAAGGGATACATAGTGCTTTATACTACACCTACGAGAAAACAAAAGAAATAATCTTTAATTGAAATTTTATATTAAAGTTGTTACACTTACTTTACTTTTGCCTGGGAGCTTTTCGATACAATAGTTTTTTTGATTTCACGAGTAATAAATAGGTAGTCTTTTTTTTCATTCCGGCAGTGTAAATGAATATTCATTATTAGTAATATACGCCATCTCAAGTAGATAGTAAAACATATTAAAAACTCAGTTAAAAGAATCAGTGCGATTTTTACTTTATGTTATTTTTTCAAAATTGATGTACAGAAAGCAAATAGCATAAATATAAAATAAAAGAAAATTAAAAAAGCAGCATGTTAACCATGAATTTCCAGAGACATTTTCTGCCCGCTCAATGCGTTAAAAATGGATTTCTGTACACTTCTCCAGCCCGCTTAGTCATCATCATCATCATCATATAACCCGAGAGACGCTCACTACTGGACATAGGGCTCCCCCAAAGAATTCCAAAACAATCGGTCTTGCGCTGCCCGCATCCAGCTGCTTCCCGCGACCTTCACTAGATCGTGCCCTGCCAACTGCCATTTAATTCTTTGGGCTATGTCGGTGACTTCAGTTATTCTATGGATCTCATCATTTCTGATTCAATCTGCCATAGCCTATGAATGTGGTCAACGGTTCTAAAGCCTTTTCGAAAACCGTCTTGTTCGGGAGGTTAGAAGTTGTCAAACTTTCGAACTCTAGAAAACAATTTATAAACATGACTATCACCCTTTTTGTCGTCATAGAAATAGTGTCGGAAATTTTACACTTTTTTCGCCTAGCCCCCGTCCGCCAAGTCCTTACCGTGCCATTAGGTCATCAGTCAGTAACATTTGGCAAAATATTGATTTTTCTAATTACATAAAGCAATACTTATATGTAAATTAATTTGCTGCGCTCTGTATAAAAAAATAGCAAAAGTTCTTTGTGCTCCCATTTATCTCATTAGCAGAATTCATAAGACAAACAGAGTTTTACATATAAAGTAGTTGATTTTCAGTAGTTATTCCCGTGACTTCGTCTTCATATTATACTTGGTTTCTCATTCAAATTTTCATACCTTACTTCACAGACCTCTTTTTATAATTTCTGCAAAATAAGTTGGTTTTTAACAAAAAAGTAATCTCTATCAGACATTACAGACACATAAAAAATCCATCAAAATTGGTACAGCGCTTTAAGCGTGAAACGTAATTTCTTTACGGGACTTTTATCCACGGAAGACCAAATTCCCTGAATCGTGCAAAAAATGTCCGCCGAGGCCCTGCCACGGACTTGCCCGAAAATTTAGAGAACACTATGAAAATAAATATTCTCAGATCCCGTTTTATTGTAATGAAGGTAAAGTTTGAGAAAAAGAGAAGAAGTTTTATAGGAGAATACCGTCT